AAACTGAAGCAGACAGAAGTTAAATGACTTGCCCAGCGTCACACAGCTAGGAAGTGTCTGAGGCTGGATTTGAACTGAGGGCTTCCTGAATCCAGTTCCAGTGTTCTATACACCACTGTTCAGCAAGCACCAAATCCATAGCCTGCTAAGCTTTCTCCCCTTGTAAGGGTCCAGGTGAGTTGCTGCTGATTCAGTAACACATTCCTATCAGTAATTATCCCTAGCAACTTGAGAGGGGCTGGACAATGAGTCTGTGACTTTGCTGCCATAGGAACTCCAGGGTGAGGAAACTCTCCTTCGAACTAATGTAAGTTAGCACTTTATTTGCAAGCTGAGTCTTTTGGAGAATTGCTTAGACTTGATTGAGCACTGAAAAGTTAAGAGACTTGTCCAAGGTCACACAGCTAATATGCATCAGAGGGGGCACTTGAACCTGGCTTGGAGACTGGCTCTCCACCATACCACGCTGCCTCTCCTGCTTTAGAAAGGTGACTAAAATAGAAACTTAGCATGGTGGCTAGCCAGTCACCCCTACCCTGACACTGCAGAGGCTGGTGACCTTTGCCAACTCCTGCTCTCTCCTTGCCCACATGCTTTGCCCTGGGTTCATTGCTTCAGAGGTGCCTCTGTCAGGGAAGATTTTCTAGCTTTCTCATCCCTTAGCTTCTATTACTGGCTCTGGTCTCAGGGGTCCTCCTCTTCAAGGTGGGAAGGAAGTAAAAAAAAAAAAGTATGCAGAGAACAAATATGAATCAGCCATGGAAGAGTCTGTTTTATTTCTGCACACAAAAGGGAATGCTAAATAAACAAGAATCAAAGGAGAGTTATAATCATTTAAGAGGCTAGTAATATTCAAGCCTCACTGGGATGTTTGCAAACTGCTTCTTTATGAAGGCTGGTTATTAGCCAATTTGCATTTCATTTCCACTGAAGATTGATTGAGTGACACCAAGCAGGTTCCTTTCTGTGGGTTTTTTCTCTGCAGCAGGCAACTCCTTCCCTCTCTGCCATGTCTGCCACTGCCCATATATTTGCAGCAATTGCTCCACTAACTGATATGCCACAACTTGAAATGCCCAGGAAGGGAATCGTTAACTTCAAGGTCTCATGAGACCTCGTACCAAAGGAAAAGAGGAACAAACAGAAGGTGGCCCCATCCCAGACACAGGCTTGCCTAGGAGGCCATGTGCTCATGGCTCATGGCCCAGTCCAGTGAGGGGAAAGGCATACTGACCCTCCTCCACCTTTGGAGCTCAGAGAGCTCCAGACCAGCAGAAGGAAGAGGCCTAAGGAGCAAAGATCTCCCTTTTAGTCAATCCACAGATTTCAGGCTCCGAGGCATGAACCTTAGCTGAGCATCTTATGGCCAACAAGATGCTGTCTGTCAGAGGATATTTGTGCCTGCTCCAAAGTGGAGGGGCAGGGGAAGGACCCTTCCATCATGCATCTCTAAAGGGGTGCCACAGAAGTATTCAATCCAATAGAAAACCAAGTCAAAAAAGCATAATGAATTCTACCAGCATTTATCTTCTGCATATAGTTCTTCAAGCAGGGAGGGAAAAACAGCCTCTGAAGTCTATACTACCTTAGATCATCCTTTTCTCAAATCACATAGCACAAGAATATCAGGTTTAGGAGGCTATGCATTTGCCAGGTCTTTGTACTTGCCAAAACATCTTTTTGAAATGTGGGAGGGGCTTCTTCCTGCATTTACTCCAGGTACCCTTGGGCTTTTAAACTGTTCCACTCACCTCCAGGACTATTCAATTGCTTCTCACATTTCAAAAAGATGTTCCCTACTTACACACAAATCTCCTAGCAAAGCCCTACAATTTTTAGGAGGAAAGCCTTTGGAAATTGAATAGTGATTGAGATTTACCTGGCCAGTAACTTCCCTAAAGATTCTCCAAAAAGTCAAAGCCCCAGTCACCTCATCAACTGGGCTCTGCAACTGAACAGGTCAGGGGAGGGGAGGTGAATAAAATGGAAATAGATACAAACAACTCTTTCTCTTACCGTGATGGCTTCCTGCTATCTGTCCAGGAGAAAAAACAAACATACATTACTTCCAGCCAACTGCCATTCCATGGTAGTCCCTTCCCCAATACCACCTGCCCTCCCCACTGAAGGGAACTGAAATTATTTTCAGAATGGCTTCCATAGACCCTGTTCCCTTATCACAAAAAGAGAGGAACCAGGCCCCTATGATGATTTCCTGTTTCTGCTGCTGGGCTTGGGGCTCCCATTCTTCGCAGGTACCACATTTTCCCAGACTAAATTATTTGGAGGCACCTGAGTTGGGGAGAGGGGAATGAAAGGTGCATGAAGGATAGAAACCAGAACCAGGCTTTCCTACTACAAGGGAAGCTGAGGAGGCTGGGCACCCAGGGCATACCTTGACCACAGAAACCTGGCAAGGTCTCCCGTCCAATAAACACTGTAAGTTAACAACCTATACAATCAATATTTGGATTGCATTTTGTAGACTCCCGAGGAGACTGGAGATAGTACCTCAGGGTTTCAAGTATAATGGAACTTTAATGGAGGCCTGGAAACCTCTTTCCTCTCTGGACTTCCTACAGGCCCCTTTTGTGAGGGTTTACCAAAAGGGCCTAAGGGAGCTTTACTATGTTGCTTTTTCTTTGGGAAATGCCACAGAACTGCAATTAGAGAGAAAAGGCACACAAGGGAAAACAGAAGAAAGGAGAGAGACTGAAGGAGGAGGAAAAGATAGAGAGAACAACATCTGTGCTAGGGGGGCCTAGATAAAGGTGGTGGCAGAGAATAAGGATGGGAAGGCTAGGCACATCTGACCTTTTGCAAAATAAACCTAACTTCTGGAACTGAATTGTGTCCCAGTATGTTGTGGCTGATTTGAGATTTAGAGACTTCCATGAAAGAAGAGCAGCTAGAAATGGTTGAAGTAACAGGCCTTTCTTACAGGTAGATTTTAACTTACCTGAGGAGAAGCACAAGGTCATGAGACGCCCAGGGGTGTGCGGGGGCAGTCAACGAGACATCCAGGGAAGTTGTAGCAACTTGGATATGACATTCTTTGGGTAACGGTAGGAGGAGGAAGTGGGTCATGACAATCCTGGTGCTGTCTGAACTTGGCACATCCATATGGGGCCTGCAAACTTTTTGTCACTTCCTCTATTTGGTGTGTGTGATGCCTGAGTCTTCCATCCTTCATAAGGGATGCCCAGAGATGCAGGGGAGGGCCACTAGTTTTATAAGGAGGGCTCTTGTACAGCCATGGCTTATTGGTTGCCCACCTCTGAAGATGGCCAAATGAGGTCCATCCTTCTCCCTTCTCCCTACCTGTCATTGTCAGTCATGGAGGATGCAAGGTTCCAGCAAACGCTGGAGTAGGGGTCATGTTTAGAACAAACTTAGCCTGTCAGACAAGATTTATGGAGCTTGAAATTAGAGGGTTTTTTCTGATTACCATAGTTGTATGCATACAAATGCACAAAATACGTCAACTTTGACTTCACAGGAATAATCACTGAGACTTGGTGCGATGGGGTCCATTACTGGAATCTGGCATATTGTGTTCAGTTCTAGGAGCCATTTTAGGAAGGATATTGATAAGCTGCAAAGTATCCAGAGGAGGGCAACCAGGGTGGTCAAGGACCTTTGGTTTCTGTGAGGATCAGGTGAGAAAACGGGAATGTTTGTCATGGACAAGGACTGTGGTGACTTGTTCTCTTGGGCCTCAAGAGGACAGAAATTGCAAAGAGGTAAATTTGGGCTTGATGCCAGGAAGAGTTTCCTAACAGAACTGTCCAAAAGTGGAAGGGATTGTGTTGGGAGGTAATGGGAATTTCCTAGAGGTATTTCAGGAAAATCAGGTGAGTCCTGGTTGGGTGTTTTAGAAAGGACTCTTGTTCAAGCAATGGTTGGATAGCCTGACCCCTGAGCTTCCCTGCAACTCTGAAAACACAGGATTCTGTGAATGTGGATCTGGAAGAATATACTTTATTGAGAAGGAGCTGGATAGGCATAAATAAAGGATATATATGCATATGTATGTGTATATATATATATTTGTATATATGTGCATACTATATATATATATATATATGTATGACAAAGAGGCATTCTCTATTAAGATAAACATGTGAAGAAATCCAATAATCTGGGATTGGGAAAGGGGAGTTTGGTGATGAAATTTCTACTCCATCTTAGAATTTGGTTATACAGTAGAAAATGAAAACTGGGCAGTCTGGCACCCTAACTTTGGGGTGAGCAGGTTTCAGAGTTCAAAGAAAGAATGCATAGGATTCCATGGCCTAAAATTCTTCAGGGGAAGTCAGACCAGAAGGGTTATGAAACTTTCAAAAATAAGACATTAGAAACGAAAAGAGAACTTTTAAGAAAAACATAAAGAAGGTGGAAAGAAGGGCAAGTAATAGAAGATGAATGTAAAAGTGAGAAGGAGACCTTACAAACAGGGTCAAGAGAACTTTAGCTCAAAATTAGTTGAGGTTGGGGGTGAATGCTAATTCAGCAGTGTAGTAATGATGTTAGCATACATTTATATAGTACTTTGAGTCTTCCAAAGCATTTTATATATTTTTTCTCATTTGACTCTCACAGCAATCCTGTGAAATATACTACTATTATTTTTTATTTTATTTTAAATTTAAATATAAATACACACACACACGTACACAATTTCCCCCCATCACATGTTAAAACAATTTTTTAACATTTGGGTTTTTTTTACGTTTTGAGTTCCAAATTCTACCTCTCCCTCCACTCCCCTTCCCTGAGACAGCAAGCAGATATAAATTATAAATGTGCAATCATGTAAAACATTTCCATATTAGTCATTTTGTACAAGAAGACTTGAATAAAAGAAAAAGAATGAAATAAAGTGAAAAATAGCATACTTCAGTCTGTATTTTTTTCTCTGGAGGCAGATAGTATGCTTCATCATAGTCCTTTGAGATTGCCTTGGATCATTGTATTGCTGAGAATAAGCTGCTATTATTCTCCCTATTTTATAGATGAGGTAAAACTGAGGCTGAAATTGTTACTTGCCTATGGTCACACAGCTGATAAGTATTTGAAACAAGGTAATGAACCCATGTCTGTACTGACTTCAAGCTCAGTACCTTATCAAGTTAACATATGTAAATTACTTTGCAAACCTTAAAATGCTATAGAAGTGCTAACAGTTGATTATTATGTCATTATTATTATCATTAGTTTTATCCACTATGCTGCCTAGCATCCTAGTGCTAAGTTAGGCTGATGAAGAGGACTAGTTATTTATTCCCTCTCATTGCCCCCCACTTGCACGCGGGCAGCATTACCCTTTTTCATCTCCTCTTTCGCCCTGCCTCCCTTTCTTTCCCTCTTTCCTATCCCATAATCCCTATCCTCCCCTTTCCCCTTCTCCCTCTCTCTCTTTTTCTCTCTCCATCCTCCTTCCTTTTCAGGTATCAGGTGTTTTCTCTATCCCCGTTCCCTTTTTCTTTGCTGTATTTGAGTAATGAAACATAGAGATTAGTAATACAGTGTGGTTAACCACATTTATCTTAGAAAACTGGCTATAAGAAAGTAAAAGGGAATAGAAAGCAAATAAACTCTTTAGAATCAGAGCTTCAGAGACGAGGCATGCTTCTCTCAGGGAAAAAGGAGGGAGAAGGAGGAGGAATCACCAGCCTCAGTCTCACTAGTTCGAGAGGTTTCAGCAAACCCAGTGCCTGCTCTGTGACTCTGACAGATGACTCAGATAACCTGTCCTATAGCCTGTCATTAACCTGTTGCTCGACTGCCTGTGTGGCAGCATCTCCCCATCTCTTCCTGCCACACTAAATCCTAGGATGCTGGGAGAACTGGTATATGAGATTACTGAGCCATGGTCATTGATTTTTGAAAGATCATGCACTACTGGAGAGGTAAGGGAAGAAAGACAAATGCTTTCCTTATTTTTAAACAAGAAAAAGTATCTCACAGACATCTAGCCAGTAAACTTGACTGATGTCTGGCAAAATTCTAGGATATATCATTAAAGAGATGGTTAGGAAATATCTAGAAAGGGGAGCTGTGATCACAAAGAGCTATCATGGCTTCATTAAGAACATGTGATGTCAGACTAACCTGATTTCCTTTGACAAAGTTAGTAGACTGGTAGATTAAGGGAATTCTGTGGATTATCTAGATTTCAGGAAAATATTTAACAATGTCCCTCATACTGTTCTTATGGACAAGGTGGAAAGATGGTGCACAAGGGTACAACTAAGGGAGTCTGAACAGGTTGAACAGTTAGTACTTATGATTCGTTCAATACCAACTTTTCCCAGGGACATTGGTCTTGGGCATTTGTTATTTAACACTGTTTATCAAAGGATAAAGGCATAAATTACACACTTATGACACCAAGCTAGGAGGGATCGCTAACGTATTGGATGGAACAAAGGGTATTAAAAAAATCTTATATATAGCCTGGAACACTGTGCTTAATTTAATTAGGAGGAATTTAGCAGGGATTAACAAATTATCTTCAAACTAGGAGACGAAAGAGGCAGGGTTAGGTAGCAGTTCATCCGAAAAAGGTCTGACCATTTTAGTGGCCTGCAAGCTCAACAGGAGTTGCCATTGTGATATGGCAGCCAAAGACTAGAATATGGCTTAAGTTACACTAAGAGAGGCAGAGGCCCTGGGACTAGAATGGTGAAGAGCAATGCTGCCTTCTGCCATAGTTGGAACACTCCTGAAGGGTTCTGTTCCATTGTGGATACCACATTTTAGGAAAGACATTGACACACTCCTTGTGGATAAACTGGAGGGTATCCAGAGGAAGGCAACCAGTTCAAAGGCCTTGCTAGATATGGTTCAGGTGAAGGAAACTTAGGAAGATGATAGGTGTAGTCAAGTATTTGAATGTCTATCCTGTAAAAGTGGAATTAAGACTTGTTCCTCTTGGGCAGGACTTGGAGAAAAAAACAATATTAATGACATATAATGAGGCAATGGATGACCCGCAGCCTCTGGCCCCCAGCTCTTAGCTCCAGATGAGGATTACTGGTGTTTCTGCCACCTGAGGTTTGTGGCACCCTATTTTGTATTCTCTGGAGTTGTGTTTAGGAAGCTGGAGGAAAAACCCATGGGTTGGATGCCAGGGAACTGTCAGCCTATGGGTCAGCCTGTAGCTGACATGCTGAGGCCCATGTGTGTTACTTGGCTGTGGCCCCTTAGATTTCTGCCCAGAGGCTGATTTGTTGAATGGATTAGGCTTAGTCCTAGCCGTCTTCTTCCTTCCCACCGTAGCAAGACATCTCCAGACCCAGCTGTGCATACCCAGAGGCCCACTCCTTCTAACTTCTAATTGTGTCTCTTTCTGATGGCCAGGAAAGCCCTGTCAGCTCAGACATTCCTTTGACTTCCATACTAGAGACCACAAAGTGCCTTCCTTGCTGCAGGTGTCCTGCCTGCCCTTAGTGTTTTGGTAAGGCAGGGAAGATTGGAATCCACTTTGCCACATTCATCAAAATGGCATGGACCCAAGTACTAACCCTGCCTGTTCCAGGTTTGCTTAGCGTGAGTTTTAGGGTGTAGTAGAAAGGAGCACTGGAATCAGAAGACCTGGGTTCAAATTTTGACATTGCCACTGACACAGGTCAGTTTTTTTGTCTGAACCATAGTTCCCAAAAGGATGACTTCAATAAGGTCTGTTTTAGCTCTGACATTTTAAGACTGTATATGAGTATGGGTGGTTCTGTTGTGTTCCAAAAATTCATTCATTCTTTGGGATTCAGAATAAACAAAAGGTTTGTTAGGTTCTCAGTTTAGCCTACAAAAATCTATTTCATCCCCAATGTGACCATTTTTCAACTACATTGTGGAATTTTTTAGGTCAACCACAAAATAATAGCACCTACCTCCCAAAGTGGTTGTGAGGATTAAATGATGCCCGGCATATAGTAAGTGCTTTTTAAATGTTAGTTAATAAATGTTGTCGTTGTTGTAATCAGGAACCTAATAATCATTTGTAACACTCTTTCTACAGGAAACATCAAGAAGGTATTTCTTGTCTTCACCAGTCCCTTGCCCCCCAAGACCCAAAGAAGCCTACCCTTTCCTCTAGCTGTAATGCCTATGTTCCACTAAGCATTTCTCTTGACCAGTGGCATGTGACTAGCCCAGCTATTTGTAGGCACAGGTCAAGAGGTCCTGGGAAAATGAGCTAATCATAAAACTAGAAGGACAAAGCTGATAGGATCTTAGGATGACTTAGTGAAAACCTCTCATTTTATATGAGAGATTGCAGCCCAGAGGGGAAAAGGGATTTGGCCATGGTCACATGGCAAGTCATTGGCAGAGCTGGGACTACATATCACGAGGACAGGTAGAGGCAGGTGAATTGGATGATTCCTTCTCAGGGAGTAACTAGAGTGGTTGGATACTGAGGTTTCTTTGAGCTCTGGAATTTCAGTGCTTTCAGAGCTCCCGTGCTCTGAAAGGTCTTTGATGCCATGGGCATGGGTCATTCTTTCCAATGATAGGCCCTGACCCCTCCCCACACTTTAGTAGACTTTCATGGGTTTTAGCCGGAAATACAGATTCCCTGGTTGCCAGTCTTCTGGAGATGAACCGCCCTATATTTAGCTTGGCTGGTCTTCTTATGCCATACACATCAATGGCCCGTACCTCTGGTATAGGAGAAAGAACACTAGCTTTGGAGTCTGAAGACTGGGTTGAATCTCAATTCTCCCTCTTTCTACTTGTGTTTCCTTAGAAACTTGATCTCTCTTGGTTTCAGTCTCCTCATTTGCAAAGAGTTAGCCTAGATGACTTAGGATCTCTTCCAGCTCTAAAGTCTACAATCCCATTTGAAATCTACAGGTTGGTTGGATCTTCCAGAGCTCATGCCTCCCCAGCATAGCTTTCAAGAGCCCAGAGTCACCTCTGTGTCCTAAAGAGATAGCAAAATGTGATGAACGGGTGTTTCTATGAACCTATAAAATAACAGAGTCCAAATATGAGCAGTGTGTGCTATTTATTGCAGCTAGTAAGTCTGAGTAATCCCCTGATGAGTGACCTTGGCTCTGAAGGTGAGTCCTGGGTGGGTGGGCTCACTGGGTCTTCTCCAAGACCAAAGCTCACCTGGTAAGTTTGACCCACTCTCTTCCCACCCCCCATCCCCACCCACTAACTTGCCAGGAACCTGCAGGTGTCTCTCAGACCACAGTCCTGGGAGAACTGACCTGGGAGGGGCAAGACCCCAGAGAGAGGTGAGCAGGTGGACAGCCTGAGAAGGTCTAAACATAGTCCTTGTTCTCTGCGTCCTCCTCTTCGTCCTCACACTCTTGCAGAAAACCTTGGATTTCCAAGAGCCTCTGCCGGCCTTCCATCCTTTCCATCTCATCATAGTTTGGGGCTTTATCAAAGACCTCCTTCAGGGAGCTCCTCACCACTCTCTTGTACCTGGTCTTGAACTCCTTCAGGAGGCGCTGGGCCTCCCGATATTGCTTCTGATCCTCCAGCCTGCGTTCAGCGCGCTTCCGCAGAACAGAACCTGGAAGCAGAAAGGGACACCTCTCTACAGCTTCTATGCCTGGCTCTGGGAGTCCCTGGTGGGATGCCCCTAGTCTGAAAGGTTTCCGTATGGTAACGGGAAAGGAAGACTTGGGCTCTAGTCCTGACTCTCCCACTAACTTGTTCTGTGACCACAAACAAGTCACTTTCTCTCTCTAGACCTCAGTTTGCTCATCTGTAAAATAAGCAGGTTAGACTAGGGGATTCCTAAAGCCCCTTCCAGTTCTGTCCTTTTTTCATCCCATGATTAGATGGTCTCAAAGATCCACTAAGTATTCCTCAGGAATCTAGCTCCTCTCCCCTCACTGGACATCATTTCTTCTTCTCCTCTCTACCCTCTAGGCTCCAAACCTCCCTTTTTTCAAGAACAGGGAGAAAATTAATCACCCTAATCCAGGATGAGGCATGTGGATATGTATGTATGTTTGGGGTGCAGGGGTGGGGGGGATGCAGTCTGCCTTCTTACAGGGGGGTCAGCTTCTATGGCCTCTTAAACAATGAGAATTTAGGCAGTGTTTGTTTGCTATGGAGTCTTCCTTTCCTAAACCATTCCTATGACTCTTCTCCCCTTCCATCCCATAGTGGATCACCAGCAGTTCCAAGTTTCAGGGGAAGTTTGGGGGTCCCTGATTTACTCTTTGGAGCTACAATTCCTCCACCCTCCCCACTCCCATTCCTATGGACACTACTCAGGTACCTCTAGGGCTGGGTTTGGGGGCAGCCATTGGGTGAGGGCAGGGAAGGACATACTCAGTGGACTGTCCACTATTTGCTGGGGGTTCCTCATTTGATACAAGATTTCCTCCAATAACTGTGCTCGGGTCTTCCGAGGTCTAGGAACTTTACTCCAAGGGACCTGTATGTTGGGGGAGGAGGATGATATGTTAGCTGAGACATATCCCCACCCCATGGCTGGCCCAGAGTCCCCTCCCAAAGTGCATCCCTTGGCCTGAGTGCTAGAGGCAAAACAACCCAATCACAGGCTGTGGGCTCACAAATATCAGACAGTACCCTTATAGGAAGTGAGACAGTACCCCTGGTTTCCTTTGGGGGAGAAAGGGAGAAAGTTCCCCAGGACTGGAGGATAAGGAGAGACCCTGGAATGAAGGGGAGAGACATGCAAAGTGGAGGGAGGAAAAGAGGAGGGCCCAGGGTTGTAAGGGAGACGAGGGAGAAAGGGGAGACTCCTAGAACTGTGAGGGAAGGGGGAAGGAAAGCTCCAGAGAGGGACATGCAGGGGAGTTGGAGGGGCACGAGAGGCCTGGTTCCTTTCATAGGGAAAGGACCCTGTGGCCCATTTACCTGCTTTTCCTTGGGGCAGTAGGGATTCTGGAAAGCGTCAAGCTTGGCCTTGGAGGAGCGATAGATCAGCGGATACTTAAGCAAATTGTACAGGGCCTTGACATTCTGTTGGATTCCTAGGGCCAAAAGGATGTGCTCACTCAGCTCCTGAACCTATTCAGACAGAACTGACTCCTCTCCCTGGAAGCTTTAACTAACTGACTGACCCCGGTGGGTCATTCTAGGTAACACAGCCCCTCTCCCTGTCCCAGTCAGAACTGGTAATGACAGTAATTATAGTTTATGTCTTTCTGGTATACTATAATTTTTAAAATGCTTTCCTCATAATGCCCCTTTGAGGAGGAAGTGCAAGTCTTGTTACCTGCATTTTAGAAATGAGGAAACTAGACACAGAAAGAAGGAATAATATACCCATGGTCATAACTGTTAAGTGGTACAGCTGGGACGTGAATATTCCCTGGCTCCTGGGGTCTTTCTGCCATAGCACACTACCTTTCTTAAGGAACTGTCAGCTAATTACTCCCCACCCCTCCCCACCACGTTACTTGTAGTTATTTGTAGTTTAATAGAGGATTGCACAGATCAAAAGGCCTTCAAGACCTAGAGTTCACCAGGCTGGTCTGAGTGGTAGATACCCCTTCCCCCACATCCCCATCCCATATTTCCCCTACCACCTATCATAGGCAACTGCCCCAATTATTTCTTCTGTCTCCTTTGCCGGATCTTCATCCAGGTAGAGTCTTCTAATGGTAGGTATCCCCGAGGGTTTTGTCCTGGGCCCTCTTCTCTTTTCCCTCTATACTACTTCACTTGGTGATCTCATCCGCTCCCATTTTCAATTGTCATCTCTATGCTGATGATTATCAGACCTACTTGTCCAGCCCTAATGTGTCTCCTGGTCTCCAGTCCTGAATCGCCAACTGCTTATTGGACATCACAAACCGGGTGTCTTGTAGACATCTTCAACTCAATATGTCCAAAAACTGAACTCATTATCTTTCCTTTTAAACTCTCCACTCTTTTCATACTTCCCTATTACTATAGAGGGTAACACTACCCTTCCAGTCCCTTAGGTTCGAAACCTAGATGCTGTCCTCAACTCTTCTCTCTCTCTCTCCCTCCTCTCTTTCATACCATCTCATATTCAATCTGTTACCAAGGCCTGTCCATTACACCTTTGCAACATCTCTCATATGTGTCCCCTTCTCTCCTCTGACACTGCCACCATCCTGGTGCAGACCTTCTTCATCTCACACCTGGATTATTACAATAGCCTGCTGGTGGTTCTGCTAGCCTCAAATCTCTCCCCACTCCAATCCTTCCTTCACTTATCCACTACGGCTGTCAAATCAATCTTCCTAAAACTCAAAGGGGGGTGATCATCCCTTATTCAATAAGCTTCACTCACTACTTGTTGCCTCTAGGACTAAATATGAAATTTTCTGTTTAGTGTTCAGAGCCCTTCATAACCTGGCCCCCATCCTACCTTTCCTATGCCATCTTATACTTTACCCCCTCCCATGTACTCTTTGATCCAGTGACAAGGGCCTTCCAGCTGTTCTTTGCACTCCATCACATCCCCTGACTATTCATTTTCTCTGACTGTCCCCTAATTCTCTCCCTCCTTATCTCCACCTCTGGCTTCCTTAAAGTCCCAGCTAAAATCCCACCTTCAACAGAAAGCCTTTCCTGATCCCCCTTACTGTTTGTGCCTTCTCTCTGATGATTATCTCCAGTTTATCCTGTGTAGAGCTTATTTGTACATGGTCTGCATAGTGCTTACCCTTCCCCTCCACGAGACTGTGAACTCAGTGAGAGCAGGGACTGTCTTTTGACTCTCTTTGTATGCCCGGTGCTTAGCACGGTCCTTGGTGCATAACAGGTGCTAAATGAATGCTTACTGATGGATTGACTGAATGGTTTTGAGTGGGATGCTGAACCTGTGTGCCTTGAACTTGGGGTAACTTTCAGGGGTCCACAAGTGGGAGTGGCCTGAGCTATATTCAAGATTATCTGTGCCAAGTGCATGGAATCTAAGTTCACCAGAGCAGATAAATGTTTAACAAACTGTTAAGTACCTATACGATACAAAGACATATCATCCTAACTTCCACCTCCCCAAAAGCTTAGATCTCTTTGAAAGGGAAAAAAGATAGCTCTGACATTAAAGAGTATAAGGATAAAGCTCAGAGTGGGAGGAAAGGGAGGGAGGACAGCTTCTTGTCAGACCAATGGGTGACCACAGCTCAGAAGCGCCTGCCAGTATTTCTTTCACCAGACCGACCACAGAACACACTAGTTCAAAGCAGTCATTTAATTGAAGAGCAAAGCAATATAAAATCCCCTCATATCAGGCCCGTATACATGAGAATCCCAGTAAATAATTATACAGTTAGTAGCACAGTGAGTAGAGCACTGGACCTGGGGGGTAGGAATCCCCGTGTTCAGATCTGGCCTCAGATACTTACTAGCTTTGTGACCCTGGGTGAGTCACTTAACTGTCTACCTCAGTTTCCTTATTGGTAAAATGGAGTCGATAAGAGCACCTACCTCCCTGATTTGTGAGGACCAAATGAGATATTTATAAAATGCTTTGCAAACCTTACATTGTTATATAAAATGCTAGCCTATTTATTATTGTGAGTGCACATATCTGAAACCTTTTAAGATTTGCAAAGAACTTTTTCTCACAACAACCCTATGAGGTAGATAATGCTAGTATCATAATTGCTAGCATCATAAAGAAACAAAGGCTCAGTAAGGCCAGGTGATTGACCTGGCAAGTTAGTATCAGAGCTAAGAACCTTTACCTTTGATCTGTACTTATAAATAGGTTTGTAGGGAGCCAGGGGAATGTTGTTTTGACAAGGTGGGACCAGGATCCAGGCCTCTTGATACCAAGGGGTTCTTGCCACCTCTCTATGCTATCCCTGCACATAGTAGATGCTTAATAAATAATGACTCTTTCCCTTTGATCTGACCAAACAAGATGGCTTCCCAGAGAAGGTAGCATTTCAGGAGCTGGAGAACCTAGGTTAGCTCTGCTGACCTTCTGGTGTGACCTTGGCAGGTACCTTCCCACCTTGGTCTCAGTTTCTTTATTTACAACAAGGAGAGGGTTGATCTATGATAGAGGATCCTAGGATCCCCTTAAGTAATTTCCCATTTCTGAATATTCAAGTTTCTCATCTGTATAATGGGGACAGATTAGGGGGATTATTCCTAAAGTTCTCTTCTAGCTCTAAATACTGTGAGCCTATTGTAGAGAGGATGATCAGCTAGGTGGTGCAGTGGATTGCTGGGCAAGGAAGACTCATCTTTATGAATTCAAATCTGACCTCAGACACTTACTAGATCTGTGACCCTGGGCAAGTCACCTAACCCTGTTTGCAGCAATTTCCTTATCTGTAAAATGGGCTGGAGAGGAAAATGATGAACCACTCCAGTATCTTTGCCAAGAAAACCCCAAATAAGGTCACAAAGAGTCAGACATGAGTGAAATAACTTAATAACAACAAAGTTGTGGAGAGGAGTTGGGCCTCTCCCCTTCCATCCCTTCCCTCCCTTCATCAGATGATAGGATTGCGGGCTGGATCAGCCCAGATACTATTTGGCATTTGAATATCTTTGGGAAATGGCCTGGTGGGCTGACTTTCATGATCCCACTCACCCACGGGCTCCATGAAGCTGGGGTCAGGCTTTGTCTGGATCAGTTCCTCATAACCTTTGTACTTCTCTGGGATGGGGGTGCTTGGTTTCCTTGGTTTCTTTGCTTCTTTGTCCTTCTCCCTCATGTCCTTGTGCTCCTCCAATGACTTGGCTTCCTTGTGGCTCCTGGGAGTTCTCTGCACCTTGGTCACCTGGAGGTGGTGGATGGAAGATTAGCCCCAGAGGCCCTGGGGCTCTCTCCCCTCACAGGCAGACACAGCCCCAAACCCCTTCCTGGAGCTCCCTTTGGGGACCCACTCTGAAGGCATCCAGAAGGAAGTGTTGCACAGAGGAAAGCTCTCTGCATCTGGAGTCAGAAGACCCAGGCTCAGGTGTGGATTTTGCCACTTACTAGCTATTTGACCTCCCCTCCCTCTCGGTTACTGCTTCGCCATTTATAAAATGAGAGACTTGGACTAGATCGTCTTGAAGGGATTTTCCAGCTTTTCTGTTTCCCGTTCTAGGAATTCTAGAGATGTAGGAGGTGAAGATGGGGAGAAGCAAGGAATGAGTATTTTAAAAATGTTCTAAGCCCTTTAGTATGGTCTATTGAATGGTCTATTGAACAAAGATCTTCACTTCTCACACTTCAACTTGGCATTCAAGGCCCTCCCTAATCAATTTTCTCTCACTTTTTATCTCCTCCTGGTCCTTCTCACATTATATGCTCCAGGCAAACTGGATGACCTGACATCCCCAGACACAGCCTGCCCTATTAGGCCTCAGTGACCTTGTCCTCACCATTCCCTGATTCTCCCATCTCCTGAAGCAGCATCCTGAAATCCAAACTATCCTCCAGGCCAATAAAACAGTTAAATCCTCCACAATGGACTCACTGTGGCCTCTGAATCCTCTGCAGCCTCAGCACAGTGGTTCTCAAGAGGCTTGAGAGGTGGCTACCAGGGTGGGGTAGCAGGCACAAAACACAGGAAGGAACAAGGTGAGGTTGGCTTGTTATGCTCCTAGGCTTAAGAAGTAAGGACTGTGGACAATAGAAGGTTTCTGTGTCTGCAGTAGGAAGGCTGAGAAAAATTATATTAGGGTACGAGAACTTTAGGTTGAAGGAACCTAAAGGCCATTTAGCCCAGCATTTGGAAAATCACAGTTGGTCAGATCACACCTGCCTGTTTTTATATCTCTAGAAAGCTAAGAACTGGTTTTTACATTTCAAAATAAAGTTTTATAATATTTTGAAATGTGAAAAAAATTCTTAGCTTGTGGGCAGTATAAAAATGCCCTCTGTCCAGAATCTGCTGATAGTCCAATCCCTTCATTATACAGAGGAGGAAACTGAGGCCCAGGCAGGTTCCAGGGAACAGCTACTAAGAAACAAGGCCAGGATCTGAGGCCAGGTCATCTGACTCCAAATGCAGCGATCTTTATGCTACCATGTTCCATGCTAGCTCTCTCAGAGGCAAGGTCTGGCTGGCTATAGGATCCATTGGCACAGAGAATAGTTATCAGGACCTGAGTCAGAAGCACCTGAGTCATGAAGAAGGATTCTACGCTCTTCACATCATCATCTGACCCCATCTCAGAACCAGTCATCTCATTGGATGTGTCTGTCTTCAGAGAGCCCTCTTTGGTGGATGCAGAGGAATGGATAGGTGGGAGAGGTGTGAAGGTCCGCCTAGACGTGGACGGGGCTGGTGTATCAGGCACTTCCGGAGTTGGCAGCTCTAGTATGATGGGGGCCTTTGGGACCTTCAGAATTTGGGTTCTCACCTGCCACAGAAGGAAACCCACAACACCCCCCCACCCCCATAATAACAGTCACTTTATGGTTACAAAGCACTTTCTGTGATCTCATTTGATCCATTCTGGAATGAATGTGACACCAGAACTATCATCCTCATTTTAATGATTAGCAAACTGAGGCCCAGAGAAAGGAAATTATTTTGCCAAGGTCACATAGGATGAAGGTGGTCAAGCTGGAATTGGAACCAAACCTCCCAACACCAATCTTGAACATACTTTTCTCCTCTTGAGCCAACATGAGGCCAAGACATGGTGGGCATGACAGGGAGTGGTTAACAAGCCCTTTCTTTTCCAGCTGATTTTGAAACATACATAGTCGTTTGGTATCTGACTCTGGTCTGTTAACCCCATGGTCAAGAGAGCGGACTCTGATTATCTGTGGCTGCATGGCTGGAACTGGGAGGTATATTAGGTGTGCAAAGCCTGTGCCCTCTCTTTGGCTAATTTCATCCTGCCTGGCAGCATTCTAGAGAGAGGAGACCATTCTGTGAGGAGAGAAGCCTGGGGCCCTCTCCATCCAAGTCCAATATACAGCCTAGATATGGGCCTTGGTCCTTTGCCTTGGCCTTTGTCCTTTCATTTTAGGCAAAAGGGGATTAGTAGTTATGACCTTGTGAGTTTGAAAAGGTCAAGAGAGAAAGCCACCAGGAGATTCAAGAGTGGAGTTTATGTTAGGGATCCTAACCCTTATGAGCAAATATAGAGTGCTCAGCTGATGCAATCCCTACGTGGCATACACATACATTACATAACTGGTTCTAGTCTGCTAACCACATGGTGAAGAGGAGCCTCTTTGATTGGCTATTTAGCTAAAACTAAGGGTTCATTTGTAGGGTACTAGTCAACTAGAATTTTATGGTTCCTTCAAACTTCTAAGCTGGACTAACTGGTTAGGATCCCTAACATGAACTAGCCCAACACTCACCATGGGGTTAACCAACTCTCATGCCCCCCATGTCTTGGCCTTATGTTGGCTCAAGAGGAGAGATGCATGTTTAAGCTTGTTGACAATCTCTCAGAGACCAGGGTAGGAGAAGAGAGAGCTCTGTAAGTTGAGGGGGCGGAGAATTATGACCAAAGTAGGGAAGGGTTTCTTTAAAGAGCAACTGTATTTACATTAGGGATCAGTAATTCTGATACTCTGGCCTGATAAACAATAAAGTAAAGTGAAGAGATTTAGTCATCCAACATTATGGGAACCCTGTCACATGTGATTTGGGCAGGTGGTACAGTACAATGGGAAGAATACCAGGTGTAAGGCTTTGAAGAAGGAGGGTCAAAACCTGGCCCTAATACTCATTAACTACATTGGCCTACAGAAGCCACTTGATGTCTCTGTATCTTAGTTTCCTTCTCTGCAAAATAGGAAAAATAATACTTGGTCTTCCTATCTGATCGGGGCTTTTTAAAAAATATAATTTCATGAGACTTAGAGAAAAAAAATGTTCTCTATTGATGCAAATCCACAACTGGTCTGTACCCAAAGACTTAGAGAGTTCCCCTTCAAGAATGAAGGACAAACAACAAGGGTGCTAGGAAGTTAGGGGACTTGAGTCACAAAGTACAGATCTGCAATAGGACCTGAGCCTAGATCTTTGTTTTACTCTAAGGTCAGCTTTAAAAATATTTTGTAAAATTCAAAGTCCTAAATAAATTTGAATGACAATTCTTCCAAAATTTTAGTAGGTCTGTGATCTCCTCAATGCAGGCAGTCCCTCCTCTTCCTAGCCTACATGAACCATTGGTATATCCTATGCAACATCAGGAGATTTAAAGGAAGTTGAATAGATCATTCCCTCCACACCCAATGGAGGACACTATCCATCCACCACCTTTGTATGACTCTTGCTTGTACCCATGTACATATTCTCCATCGGGGGAGAGAAGAAGAGGGAAGGTCCACTCAACTTGCTAAAGACTTTCCTCTAAATCTCTTAAGGTTGTATAGATACCAATGGAGGGCTGTTCATGGATCAACCAACTTTTTTTTTCCAGTCATGCATCTCCTTTATTTCACTTCTCCTATACAACAATTTAATGATAATACAATCTAGCCCACATGTGGGCCCACTGATAGCTACCATGCCTTTAGCCATTGCTTTTTGGGAGACCCTCAATGTTAATCCTTCAGTATTACAGGACTTACAGTATAACAGCATCATCAGAAGAATATTGTGAAAAAGATGGACCTTTGTCATTAGGGATTGGCTTTCCTGCACTTGAGAGTTCCAAGGAGACATTGGATGATGCCCTGTCAGGGAGTCTATAAGAAGGAATTCTTTAGTTGGAGATTAAACACTAAATGACCATGAAAGCCCTTTCTAGCTCAAAGATTCTGTGATTCAATGAAAGTCAGGCTATCTTGCATTTGAGGTCATGTAATAATTTGGCTAGTGCAGCAAAACCCCTCTGATATAATTGTACATGGCTCTCACAGTTTTATTTTATGAGAATCTCTTGTTCTCTAACTCCCATAAGTACCTAAAATCTTACCACTGAAGAGCTATTCTTTGGGTCTTAAAAGCTTGTGAGACTCCTGTTGATTTGCATCTACACCTTTCAGGGGTAGTATATGGGGAAGATTAGCTGATGGCTAGCTAAGAAGTGGTATATGCTGTAGAAAAAAGGACCTTGGATTGGGAGTCAAGAACCGGGGTTCTCGTATAAGCTCAGCCCCTAATTAGCTGTGTAACCTTGGTTGAATCATTTCCCCGTTCCTCACCAATAAAATGAGTTAGTCATATGGGCCTGTCTAGCTCTAATATTCTGTGTTCTTTACTCAAAGGTTCTTTCCAGTTCTGATAATCAACAATATATACCTCATAGAATACTCCTCTTAGGGATATCTGTATTTTTATGGAGCAAGTGGAGGGCTAATGTTTAATTCAAAGAAATGAGTCTCTAATGGTGGGACAAGGAGTTTCCTCAGGCACCTTAAGGCAGAACCCTTCAGGCACCATGATAAAAGGGTGAAGGCCACCCTGCACATTCAGGTTAGTCCTAGTGGTGGGCCCATTCCTGGGCTAGCCCCTACAAAGAGGAGTTTCTTGTGGCTTCCCCATCCTGGGCCTCCCTCAGATAAACCAACATGAGCCCCTTGGGCCCATCTATACCTTCCAGTTGGACTTCCGAGGAATTAAAATGTGTGGACGCTTGAGCTTCTCAGTAGGCTTTCGAATTAAGCAAATCCCCAGTCTTTTCTGGAGGAAGCTGTACAGCAAAGGCGGATCACCTGTTGGAGAGGAGAAACACAGATGTGCCTTGGTCACTGCCCTGGGCCGGGCCAGGGACAGAGTGTCATACATAGGACCTTGACCAGGAGAATCCATCTCTTCTTCCAAAACAATCTGCTTTGAGGTTGGGCCCTATGGCACAGACCCTTAGGGAATCATGCACAGTCCCCACAAATAAATAGGCAGGGAAGATATCCAGATCTCTCTCTCTCTCTCTCTCTCTCTCTCTCTCTCTCTCTCTCTCTCTCCCTGTCTCTCTCCCCCTTGCCTCTTCCCTCTGCTCTGCTCCCTCCTAGTTGAGTTCTTAACCATGGCTTGACACCACTTTCACACCTGCCAAACACACAGTACCCATACTACAGATAGCTGTCTTGGATACTGTGGGCAATAGATGTGATAAATAGACCATCAGTGAAGAATTGCCTCTCCTACTGGTTTTTATCAGCTAGCTGGCACTATATGAGTCCAAGTATAGGCCGTGTCCAAAATGGGTCCTGCCTCTAAAATTAGATGCTTTTTTTTTGTGGGGCAACTGGGGTTAGGTGACTTGCCCAGAGTCATGCAGCTAGTTAAGTGTTATGTGTCTGAGGCTGGATTTGAACTCAGGTCCTCTTGACTCCAGGACAGATACTCTATCCACTGGGCCACCTAGTTGTCCCAGTTAGATGCTTTTGAGAAGGAAAAAAAAGTTATAATTATATTCCAATGCTGAAAAATATCCCTGAAAAAAATAGAACCTATTATAGGCCACGCTCACGTTTTACTCAAGCCAGATTTTGTAAAATAAAGTGGCTTATATGTATTTCCCTTCCAATTACTCTATGTATATAGTTAGCAATATATATACTGTCTCCTCCATTAGATTGCAAACTCCTTGAGGGCTTAGAAACTATGCCTTTCTTTGTATGCCTAGTGCTTAGCACAGTACCTGGCACACAATAAGTGCTTAATAAATGCTGGTTGTCTTAGCTCAACTTGACTTTATATACATTACTCTCATTTAAGCCTCACAACACTCTTGTGAACTAGATCCTGTTATCCACATTTTATAGATGAGGAAATGGAGGTTCAGAGAGGCTCGCTGACTTGTCCAGAGTCACACAGCCAGTAAGGGTCAGAGGCAGGAACTGAACCCAGACCCTTCTGATTTGAAGCCCAGCTTTCTAGACCCTATTTTCTACTTCTTAACTTCCCAAACTGACTTTTATCACCAGTCTGCCTTTGTCTCTTTCACTGGTTTCTCACTCATTTTCCGATCCTTTAATAAATGAATATTCAGGGCAGCTAGGTGGCGCCATGGATAGAGCACTGGCCCTGGAGTTCAAATCCATCCTCAGACACATAACACTCACTAGCTGTGTGACTCTGGGCAAGTCACTTAACCCCAATTGCCTTGTCAAAAAAAAAAGGTGAATATTCCCTTCAAATCTCTTATTGACTTCTTTCTCTATACCCATATTCTCTCTCTTGACAAGCTCATTCACTCACATAGCTTTAGCTACTACTTCAATACAGAGAATTCCCAAATATATAGCTATAGTCCTGACCTCCCCTTCCTTGCTCCAGCCTTCCCCTCTAACTGTGTATAGGACTTCTTTACCCAGTGTTCTCACTGGCTTCACAAACTCTACACGCACAAAAACGAGGTTATCTTTCCAATTAAATCTGCCCATCATTCAATATTCCATGTTGGAACCTTAAGATAATAACTGCTTGACTTGCCTTAATGATAATTTCATCCTTCAATAGGCAGAGAAACAAAGGGAAAATCTATTCTGTATCTGATCCTGATTAAGAGGGGCCAGTGGGTTACTGTGGTGGAAATTATGGGAACCTTGGTTGGGGGGAGTGGTGGGAAGGTGAGGTAAGAAGTGATCACATCTTCCCAGACTTTGCAATAGAAAGAAGATGAAATTAAAGTCATAGGCTGACATGTACTGTAGATTTTGGAAAAAACAGATTTCACAGGGTTCAAAGGAACCCACAGACTAAAATACTTCAGGAGAAGTCTTTCCAGGAGGTATAGGAGATGTTAAGAATGAAATTCTGAAAATGAAAGAGAAATAATTCCAGTGAGGAGGAATACATGGGATTTGACCGAAGAGACTATTATAGATGTGTGGGGAGCTCACTAATCAACTTAGATATTAATAAGAAATGTAAGGAGAATCAAGGCAAATCAAGGCTCGGTAATGGAGCAAGAAAGGAAACAAGCATTTATTAAGCACCTACTATGTGCCGTATTCAGCACTTTACAGTTATTATTTCATTAGATCCTCAGAAACTCTCTGGGAGGTAGGTGCTATTATCATCTCCGTTTTAAAACTGAGGAAACTGATACAGAGGTTAAATGACTTGCTAAGGTCACACAACAAGGCCAGATTTGGACTCAGCTCTTCCTGACTGCAGGTCCAGTGCTCTATCCATTGTGCCACCTAACTGAGGATGAGTCTAAGAGTGTGGCATGGTCTGGGAAAAAATGTCAACTGTGCTAAAGCTCAAAATGAACTGAGACTGGTGAAGGAAGTTAAGGGTAACAAAAAGGGTTTATCACTTTTTAAAGCTATTATAAGCATCCCTTCCTACTCTCACCTCAGTTGATAGTCACAGGAGGCCCAGAATGTAATCTTGAAGTATTAATAGGTTATTAAACTAACTATATAAAGATGCTTCTCTAGTCCCTTTGTGATAAGTCAGTCAATAAGCACTTATTAAATGTCTATTATTTTCCAGGCACTGGACTAAGTGTTGGGGATACAAAGAAAGGCAAAAACAGTCCTTGTCCTCAAGGGGCTCACAGTCTAATAGGGGCGGCAGCTTGCAAACAATTATAGACAGACAAGCTATATACAGGATAAAAAGGAAATAATCCACAGAGGGAAGGCACGAGCTCTAGGTAGGATCAGAAAAGGTTTCTTGAGAAGGTGAGATTTTAGCTGGGCCTTGAAGGAAGCCAGGGAAGCCAGGAGGCAGAGATGAGGAGGAGAGCATTCCAGGCTTGGAGGACAGCAGTGCACATGTTCATGGTTTCCAGTAGTAATGGGGTATTGATTCCGATTCTGATTTCAAAATTGGAAAGAGAAGAAGGGGGATGATTATGTGTGGTGATGATGACGGTTGGGTATAAAGTGAAGCATGACTGAAGCTGTCTCCATATAATGGACCTTGTGAGTGGGACACTCATCAATCAGGATATGGCTTGGGCAGGAAGGGATTAAGTCCCCTAGGGTGTGGTCTCTTCTCCAGCAAGTTCAGGAGGTAGGACCAAAGGCAAGAAGATGGACTGGGGGAGATTAAATTAATTGGTTTCCTCTTATTGAACTACCCCTTGTATCCCTGATATAAATTCACCTGAATCATAGTGGAGAGTTTAAAAAATCAATTGCTATATAGTCTTTTTGCCAGGATTTTATTTAAACATTTGACTCAGTATTAATGATACTGATGATTTCACCCTTTTGAAGGATTAAATTATCATTGAGGGGAGCAGCTGCTTGTCCCCCAAGGGATAATGATGATGGGCTAGTGCTGAGACAATATCATTTCTATTTCTGTGTCCACTGATCTTCACTGAAATTATCTCAACTTTGCTCTTACCTTTGGTTCCTGTATTTCCTTGCATGAGAATAATTTGTTAATATAGTGCATGCCCCTGTCCTCATCCTTACCCCCTTGCCCCAGTTCTGTTCCTTTTGAATAAAGTGTGACCTTCCAGGCCCATGGTCCAGTCATGAATCCTAGCTCACCAAGTTTCAGTGATACCGATTAGGCCAGATTTGCTTCCTTGCACTAGATATCTAGTTCTGCCTTACTTGTGACCCACACAGCATTTATGTAGATAGCCGAGACTGCAAGATTGTATTGTTGGTTCTTTTCCTGGATTTTGTTTCCCATGAGTTTCTGGGCATCTCCAATACTATTCTTCCCCATTCCTTGCAACCATTAGCCCTTGATACCTAGCTTGGTGGCAATATGTAGATAGTTTTCTTGCTCTCCTTCCTTTTCAGTCTAAAGCTCTTCTGATTTGATTTGCAAGGCTCTTGGTCAATAAATTCTTGCCAATCTTTGCTGGGAATTTCATCCTTGGCCAAGAGTTCGTATTTTTTTAGCTTTTTTTTTTAAGAGTTCATATTTTAATCTAGAAATCCAAGCCCTATTCTCAGACACCACATTATTAAGCAGTATATTCATTTGCTAAATCTGCCTTTTCTTTTCTGAAGCCCTTGTTGTCAGTCTATAGAAGGAATAAAAATATCCCCTGTCTCTTAAGGTCTTTATTTTTTTGCCCTTTGCACTCCTATGTATTTTATTTTGTGCATTAAAAAACATTATCCTGAGCAAGGGTCCACAGGCTTTATAAGACTGACTGCCAAAAGGGACCATGATACAAAAAAAGGTCCTTCTGCATAGTCCTTAGTAATGCTTTCTAGATTCTTTCTGATGTCATCATTCATGTCCATGTGAATTGGCAGAAATGTGTCAAATGTCATCAAGTTTGATATCTTGGGTCTGTCATGTGCTGGAATCATGCCTCAGGAAACCAAGAGACCTCACACAGCAGCTTCAATGTCCCTTAGGAGGCTGTCACCAACCACGGCTACTGGCTTCTTCTGACCAGAGAGTGCCTAGGAATCCACACTCTTATTCCTTGGAGAATAAGCATTTGTTTCCTCCTCTGAGGCCAGCTCTCTTCAGGAAGAGCTTTGGAGCTGTTGTTTTGTTTCAAGCATTCAAATACATTTCTTCTCTGTGCAATGAGAAGAGTTCTTAGAGTAGGTACAATATTTTCTACCTGTTATTAACTTGCATGGAGGCTCCTGTGGAGAAGGGGCCAGCCATCCCCATCACCTGCCATAAGCATGGCAGGCAAGTCAGTGTGGCTGAGGCAGTGGGGCACCCTGAGGAGGCAGCATGTGCCAGTTAAGTCAAAACTATAATCATCATATCTCCCCTAAGACCCTGATGGGGACATCACCAAACCCCTGAGCCATGAACATTGAGAATAGCAATGCTTCCAGCCCAGTGCCCTCAGCCATCATCCTGGGAAGCAATGTCCATGGAGATGCAGCCAGCAGGCTACAGCTCCAGCTACTGAAGATGCAGAAAGGACAATTCTTGCCACCAAAATCCTTGGCATTGTCCAATGGTTCAGCTTTAAAAACAGATGTGATTTTACCAGTGGAAATCACATTAAAGAAGAGGTATTACTTTTTATGCACCTTAAGGATCCTGGATCTTTTCCAACAGACTTGCCACTGAAATCTTCCATGAATGCTGTCTTCCTTGTTAGAATATAAGCTCCTTGAGAGCACAGACAGTCTTATTTTCTATTTGTATCCCCAGCATTTAGTTTAGTGCTTTGCTCATAGTAAATGCTTAATAAATGTTTTAAATTAGTTAAGTAATTCATCAGTGAGTTTGATTCCGTAAATGACTGATGGAGGATCTTGCTTCAGAGCAATAACAAATATTCTCTATTTCTGCTTGGTTTACTTTAGGGTGACAAAAAGCCTTTTAATTGACTGCCGAGCTGGAATTTAGTGAACATACAAAAGACTCATACAGTCAAGTGGTCTTTCTTCCTGGGAGGAGAGCAAAGTCCAAGCTTCTGTGGGCCTTTCTTCCTGCGCAGCCACCATACTCCACAAAAGCATGGCTCCTATTTCTTCCGTCTTTGTTATGTTCTTCTTTCCTAATCTAAGGTAACTGAATAGCAAAGATGGAAACAAGTCAGGTTACAACCTCGTGAGCTTCAAAACATCAGAAACATTTGGAGTGATTCAGCAATCGGAGTCAGTTACAGGGTCTGCCACTTTCTGTGTCATATTCTTCTACCTTCTGCTCTCCCGACCTGGGTCAGGATTCCTTTCTGCTTCTTTAGATCCTTGGCTTCTTTATTAATTTTTTTTTCAGGGAATCGTTTATTGTCTCAAATGACCCAGAGAGTGGAGAGGTATTCCTTTAGCCCCTTTACTCTCTCTTCTAGGAAGGAGACCAGCCTGTATTTAAGCACAGATGATTGGTAACTTGCCAAGGCAGAAAGACAAATATTGAGTACTCTGTGTGTGTCAGTGGGAAAAAAAACCTCTGGTTTCAGGATGCAAGATTCTTGGTACTTTTCCTTCTTGCTAGTAGCTCTTGTGGCCAGTTCACCTGGTGAATACTCTCTGCCTGTTATCTCCTCATTCCAGATAACATTTTTTTCCTTTTCTTGTTAATCTCTCTTCTCTTCTTTCTCTTTTCAGTCTTCTTTTTTTCTCTTTTCACTTCTTCTAACTCATTTCCTTTACCTTTGCCATGAGTCTTCTGTTTCAGTCCTTGTGCTTTTCCTTAATACATTTCCCTTCATCTCAGATTCTCTTTCTCCTTAAGGCCTTCTAAATGTACCAGGCACTGGTCTTCACAATTCTGAAATCTTTTTTTTTTTTAATTTTTTATTTTTGGCTAGGCAATGGGGTTAAGTGACTTGCCCAGTAAGTGTTATGTGTCTGAGGTCGGATTTGAACTCTTGTCCTCCTGAATCCAGGGCCAGTGCTCTATCCACTGTGCCACCTAGCTGCCCCACACAATTCTGAAGTCGTCCACACATCTTTCACAATCTTACTCCTCCTCCTCCTTGTCTTCTTCTTCTCTTTCCTTCCTTTCTCTCTTTCTCTCTCTTTCTTTCTTTCTTCAAGGTCAAGCCTTTCAGAACAAACCTGTTGTCTATACCCCGGGGAAACCCATTATAGATTTTTAAAATTATTTATTTTGTTAAATTTATGGAATAAAACAAGCATTTCCATAATATAGTATAATAAAAATAGGATTACACATAAAACTTCCCATTAGAGATTAGAAAATAGTGGTCAACTATCATTTCTGCCCCCCAACTCCAAAATCTCCTCTTCTCTAGGCTAAACATCCCCAGTTTCTTCAGTTGATCTTTATATGACATGGCTGAATGCCCCTTCCCCATCTTGGTAACTCTCCTATGGATGGAAATTGGTAATTTGCCATTTTCCCTCCCAAAAGCAGGTGCATAGAACTGGACACAATCACATGGGCTCTGACTAGGAAAGATTACCCAGAAGGTATTTAGTATAGATTTATTGGGCTACACTGAATTGCAAATACTTTACCCTTTGTATGGATCACCAATGGATTGTTGTGGAAGATTAGCTCATTTAGAGAGGGGAAAAGAGCCACAGGGAGGAGAGCATCCTCATTTGAGATCTGGAATGACAAGAATTATCTCCATCAATATGACCCCAGCCCTACTAAAGGCCAGGCCCCAGTGATCCGGGTAATCCCAGGGAATGGGTTTAGGGTGTGAAGTCCCTAGCATTCACTCTCTGCCATAAGAGCAAGGGTATTCTGAGGGGCATTCTTGTATAGATATGGATTGAACTAGATGACTTCTGGGCTCCCTTCCAACTCTGAGATCTTGTGATACTATGATTCTGGATTTTGTTATTTTAAAATTCTATTATTTTATGATTCTAAGAAGCTATGATTCAACAATTGAATGTGATTTTCCCACCAAACAATGGCCACTGCCTGCTACTGGGAAATTACCAGGCAACAGAAACTTGCAATTGGTACTAGAAATGTCAAGGAGGTTGAATCCTGGGCTGACATGAGAGCTTTGAGGCTAACCTCTCTCTGGTATTTGTCTTGGGAACACAGGGGAGCCCCAAAAGTGTGAGTTTTGTCCTGAACATTCTCTCCTTCACAAGATGGTTCTACATATGATGTAGAAGTCTCAAAGTGGGCTGTCAGGCAACACCATGTCCTGAGCTCCCAACTTGCCCTACACACTAATAATGGGAAATGCAGAGCTCCAGAAGACAGAGGATAATAATTCTTGCCCATGGGAAGCCTCGAGTCAGAAGGGACACAGATGGCTCCTGATCTTATGGAGTTCCTAATCTGAGGTGACAGTCAAGACTCCTACCCATAGGGAAACTCCCTAGGCTGAGGGAAGACAAAAGGCTCCAACCTACAAGGAGCCTTTGGTATGAGGCTCTTAAAAAAGCCTTTGTCTGAGCTGGGAAGTCAAAATGTGTTCTCTGCCCTCAGGTAGCTCCTGGTCAGAAGGGTGAGATGTGGAGGTGGGACATACCCCCTGTCCTTAGGGAACCCCTGGTCTGAAAGGGAAGATCCAGCTCCACCACCCACCCTTTGGAAGCCCATGGTCTGAGGGAAGACACAGTTAAATGAGAGGGCACAAATCTGTATCTTTTAGACAAAAGAGATTCACCTTGTTATGGGCCAGGCTAAGATATTTCAGCTCTGGGAAAGGTGGAGCCCATGTCTGGTTCAGGGCCTTCAATGACTTCACAGGAAGAATTTCAAATATGGGAGGAAGTGGATAGACTTTATTTGCCTTAAAAGGAAAAGAAAGTCAAAGTGGTATCTCATGGCAGAAGGATCTGTAGTGGCACAGGACAGATAGATAGATGCCTCCCAAGAAATCTGGGGCCCAGGTTAGCCATTTCCTGAGAGATGAAACTAAGAAACACATTCAATCCAAGTCAACCAGCATTTATTAAGTGACGTCTAGGTACATGGCATACAAGGCAATGAGTCTGGTGCTGGGGAGACAAAGAAAAAGACAAAACCAAAACAGCCCTGTCATCAAGGGTCTTACATTCTCCTATCCATACACATACACAAATAAGTAAGTTCAAAGTAATTTCAGGAAGGGGAGAGAGTATAATAATGAGAGAGATCTTTGCCTAATAAACATTAATTAAATTGTATCAAATTGAATTGAGCCAAGATACCTTGTTCTGTCCCTACCAGTGACTTGGGAGCTGTCCATGGTGAAACTTATTCACGGACTCAAAGTCTGAGTCAAATTAGACCCAAACTCTAGGGTTCAAAGGGACATAGACATATACAGAGATGAACAAACCAAATGGGAAGATAATGCCCTTCTATGAGCCCTGCCTGGCTTAGGCACTGTAGGAAGAATACTGGATTTGGAAGGACTGAGGCTGAATCCTAGCTCAGATACTTACTGGGTATATAACTTCTGACAAATCACTCTGCCTCTTTGAGGATATGTATCCTCCGTAAATGAAGGATTTAGATTAGATGATTTCTGAAGTTCCTTCTAGCTCTGAGTACTATGATCCAATGTACCTAAGAGCATATTAAGCAGTCTCGAGTTCTAGATTGGCTTCTGATAGGCACAAATAATTGAAAATCCTGAATAGGCTGAATTAAATGTGCTAACTCCTTGAAGGGATCCATGGAGACTCTTTGGTTCCATTCCCTCCATACAGGTGGAGAAGTCTATCAGCTCCTGAAGGGGAAGAGCCTTTACAGCCTCCTTTAGTCACTAGTCCTGTAGTTTTAGCACTTACACTTAATGTCAAGGTCAAGTTTTTCCTAGATTTAACCATGATCTTGCTTGCTTTTACTTAGGCCCATTCCATCTGCAACCATGGAGAATGACTAATCAGTATCCCTCTTAAACTAAGTACCCTCCATAGAGGTGACCTAGTAAAACATGCCAAGCACTGGGCTTCTATCGGAATCCTGACTCCAACATTTGCAAGCAGTGCGGGCAAAGTCACCTGTCTTCCTAGAACCTTAATATCATCATCTGTAAAGTGACAGTAATGATGATTCTATTACCTACCTTCTAGGGTTATTCTGAGGAAAGAATTTTGTTAACTGCAATTACTATAAAATGTGAGTTATTATAAGGTGCAAAGACTAGTGGCAGCTTACACTTACGAAGTATGTCATAGTTATTATTATTCTTGGCTAGCATTTATTTACATAACACTTTAAAATTTACAAACAGCTCATCTCATTTCATCCTCACAACAATCCTGGAAAGTAACAGCTATTATCATTATCCTCATTTTTCAAATGAAGAGACAAGGGCTCAAAGAGGTTAAGAGATTTGTCCATGGTCACACAGCTACTAAGTGTCTAAGGTAATATTTGAATTTAGGTCTTCTTGACTCTAAGTCCAGTTCCTTTATCTACCACACTGCTTCCAAATAGTCTTGTCAGATGGTTAGAGCAGGGATTGTTCTCTTCTCCCCCCCCCCCCGCCCCATTTTATACAGGAGAAAACCTGGTGAGGGGAAATGATTTGCTTCAGGTCATAGAGTGAATCAGGCAAAATCATCTCTGGAAACCAGGCCTCCAAGACTCTAAACTCAGGGCTCTGTCCACTGCACTGCTTTGTATTACCTCTTAATGTGGCCCTGCCTTCATCTCCCCTTCTTTAAATCCAATGCATAATAATGATGATGATGATGATGATGATGATGATGATGATGATGATATAATAATAATAATGATAGTCATATTACCTAGAGAGCCACTAGGTGGCACCATAATGCATAGAATGCCAGACTCCTCTTCCTGAGTTCAAATCTGGCCTCAGACATCTACTAGTCATGTGACCCTGGGCAAGTCACTTCACCCTGCTTGCCTCAGTTTTCTCATCTGTCAAATAAGCTGAAAAGGAAATGGCAAACCACTCCAGTGTCTTTGCCGAGAAAACCTCAAGCGGGTTCATGAAGAGTCAGACACAACTAGACAACAACAAAACTAGTACATGACAGAGGCAGGAATGAACCTAGGTATTCACAGAGCTTGTAAGTGTCTGAGGTCAGATGTGAACTCAGCGAGATGAGTCTTCCTGACTCCAGGTCTGGCACTCTATCCACTGTGCCACCTACCTGCCCTTACGTACTAGCTATGTAACCATAATCAAGTTTTAGCCTCTTGATGTCCCAAGCAACCCTAAGAATATAAATATCAGTGGAGGGAGATTACCCACCATGAAATTACAGGTCTGAACCTCCCTACCATTTCATCATCACCACCCCCGCCCCCGCCCCCACCGCCACCATTATTAGTACAGGTCTGATTTCATAGACAAAGGAAACTTCCAGTGAGGACGCTTCTGCCCCTCTCATCCTGAGTTTCCAGATTTATAAAATGGAAACAAGAATAGCACCTACTTAACATGGTTGTTTTGAGAATCACATGAGACAATATATGTAAATTGCTTTACAAACATTAAAGCACATTAAGTGTTAGTTACGATTATTATCCACAACAGTTCTGTAGCCTATGGGCTTGGGGAATTAATATGTGTGAGAGACAGGGCTTGTACCCAAGTGCTTCTGAGGCAAAGGCTAGCCCTCTGGTTACTCCATTTTTACCATCTGAAGTTAAAAGGTTCAGGGCTAAATACGTGATCTTACCTGGTTGGATGAATATCCAGGGAAAGATGGGAATATAACCTCTGTAACCAGATAAGAAACAAAGTCTAAGTTGATTAATGATAATGAAGAAAATGGACATTCATTTGAAAAGGCAGAATAGTATGGTATTTTTAAAGGAATAAACCCTGGGCTTGGATTCGGAAGCCCTAGATTTGAGTTCCATCTCTGACATTTACTAGCTATATGACATCGGGCAAGTCATTTTCTTTCTCTGAGTCTCAGTTTCTACATCTGTACAATGGGGATAATAATAATCAAATTACTCATTTCACAAGGCTCTTGTGAGGAATTCAACAAGTGCTTACCACATAGAAGACACATTTTTAGACTGCTTTGTAAACAGCAAAACACTGCAGGAATGTGGGCTGGTATTATTCATGTTGGACTTCAAGGTGACAAAACCCTTTCCAAAGCCATTAGCTTACACTTTCCCCCTTCCTCCCAATAGCCTAGAGAAGGAGGCAGGGCAGGGCAGAGCAGGAGTCATCCCCATTTGAAAAGTGATTTGTCCAAGGTCACACAGTGAATAAGTGGCAGGGTCAGACTAAAATCCAGGGCTCATGATTCCAAGGTCCAGGCTTTGTCTTTCCATTGCACTGTGATACCTGGATGCTTGGGATCTGTGATCTCATCACTGTAGATACCCCTTCTAATAGTGCAGATCACAGCCTGTCCAAGCTTTCTCATCCCAGGCAACCCAGCATGTTGGGGGAGGGCCTCCCTGTGGATCTCATGATATCCCACGGGTGCCAATGAAGTATGTGGGCTCTGTTTGGCATTCAAAGCCCTTCATAACCTTGCCTCCCTCCTACCTTTCCAGTCTTCTTACATCTTACTCCCCAACACATACTCTGCAGTCCAATGACACTGGCCTCCTGGCTGTTCTACGAACAAGACACTCCACCTCTCAGTTCCAGGCATTCTCTCTGGCTATCTCCCATGTCTGGAATGCTCTCCCTCCTCCATTCTGACTACTGACCTCCCCGGCTTCCTTTAAATTCCAACTAAAATCTCATCTTCTCCAGGAAGCCTTCCCTAACCACCTCTTAATTCTAGTGAATTCCCTCTTTTATTTATGTCCTATCTGTCCTGTATACATAGCTTGCTTTGTGTATATTTATTTACATGTTGTCTCCCCAAATGTAAGCACCTTGAAGGGAGGTACTGTCTTTCACCTCTTTTTGTATCCCTAGTGCTTAGTACAATACCTGGCACATAGTAGACACTTAATAAATGTTTATTGATTAACCAATTGTGCCATCTATTAGTTTCCTCTCCCTTTCATGTCATAAGTGGCCCACCTCTTTTCCTAGTCATACATCTCTTTGATGGTGACTTTATGTTGGTGTGTGTGTGGTTTATTGTCAGAAATGGGCTGCAGCCTATTTACATCCACCATCCATCTCTCCCAGGTCTTTGAGTGACCTGCCATCTTGAGTGTTTAGATACAGCACCGTTCCATTGTGACAATCTATTTGGATTGGCAATTCATTTGTGGTGATCCATTTGGATGTTGGCAAGACAGACTTTTGTTTCAGGTCTAAGCTCAGCATTGTTGAAAGCTCTGCTTGAATAAAACTAGGGGTGGAATAAAATCTCTGGGGATACAATGTACCCACCTGTCCGGTCCACATCCCTTTTCATCGATAATATGGCATAATCTGGTTGTCCTTTTCCCGACTTGCTTTCCAGGAAGGCCCCATTCATACCTTGTGCTAGCTTCTGTTTAGGGCTAGATTCTTTCTGGGAACCAACCCTTCTCTTGCTTGATTCATCACAGAACTTGGGTAACTGAACTTGCTGCAGGTATGGGATCCGGAAAATCTTGTTTTGTTCCATGCTTAATTTCTTCAGTCTTAAGAGGAATAAAAGGGAAATATAAGAACGACAGAGATAGTGTGGTACATTGGAAAAAGTTGTTGAGCCAGAATACCTGGGCTCAAAATGTTGCTCTGACATTATTAACCCTTTGTACTCTGAGCAACTCACTTAACTATCCTGATCTGCAGTTCTCTCATTTGTAAGATGTGGATAATACTATAATACTGCTTCACACAATGCATGAATGTTTTGAGGAGAGTACTTAAAGCACTCTACAATACAAATATGAGTTGTTATTATAGAATATTAACCCTTCTTTTATTAAGGAGGAGTGTGTAATGTAAGGAGCACAGGACTTGGGATCAGAGAACCCACATTCAAATCCCAGTTCTGTTACTGACTATTACTTTGTAACTAAACAAACCATTTTATGTCTGTGGGTCTCAGTTTCTTTACTCATAACATTGAGGCCATTACTTGCCTTTTTCTGGATTTGAGACTTCTTATCTTTTTTTTTTACATTTAAAAAAAAACCACATTTATTTAGTTTTAGTTTTCAACATTTACTTCCGTAAGATTTTGAGTTCCAAATTTTCTCCCCATCTCTTCCCTCCCCTCACCCCAAGACGGTATGCAATTTGATAGAGGCTCTACATATACATTCATATTGAACCTGTTTTCACATTGAGACTTCTAATCTTGATGCCTGAGACTTTCGTTAACTTTTTCGACTGTTCTTACTCCCCGTTGGCTCATAAGCAGTGTCACATACTGGAAAAGTGCCGTACTTGGAGTCACAAGACCAAGGTTCCAATCTTGGCCCTGCTCCTTACTTCTACTATTCAGAAAGAGAGTTTATCTAAGCCTCAGTTTCTCCATCTATAAAATGAGGTGTTTAGGTTAGAATATCTCTCTATGTTATTTCTTAGCTCGAAAATGCTGTCTTTATATGACTCAGCTGTGTGAGCTTGGGTGAGACACTGCTTTTTCAGGGTCTCTGTTTCTGTACAATGAACATTTTGTATGGATGGCTGCTAAGATTTCTTCTAGTTCTAAATTCTAAGATCCTGTGACAAAATACCAGCAGAGTGATCTGAGCCATAAACTGCGACTGAGATCTTCCCCTGGTGTCAAGGGGCCTGGGATGGTTGGGACAGCCAGGGAAGAGAGCAGGAAGGGAAGCTGGTCAAGCGACTTTCCCACAGTAGTCAGCATTACCTTTTGAGTCCGGCCAGACTGGCGAAACAGCTAGGGTTGGAGAGTTTGTTGTCATCTAAGATGAGTGTCTCCAGAGCTTGGAACCTTAGCACATAACACTTATTGGTCAGGCAGATGACGGAAAGGTTCCTGTGAAGGCAAAGGTCGGGAAGGATCACTGCTCTGAGTAGGAAATGAACAATTCCTCTTTGAGGGGGGCTCCAGGACCCTTGGACCAACCTTACTGAGGAGTCAGAGGATCTGGGTTTGGATCTTTGTCCTGACACTTACTGTGTGACCTTGGACAAATCTGTTCTCCTCTCTGGGCCTCAGTTTCCTTATCTGTAAAATGATGGGGTTGGACTGAATAATCTGTAAGGCCCTCTCAGCTCTAATTCCTATAATTTTATGAATGAGTTTGGAAATTTGGCACCAGTTCTGTGATAGCTTGGTTACAATGTAAGCCACAAGACGGTAAAAAAAATAGAACCAAAGGAAGGCCTCCAGTGTGTTAGATAACTCTTCTGAGGAGGAATCATGAAAATACATGGACAAGAATAATATAGGAGAATTACATTATGGGTGGGATGTGGATGAGCTGGTAGATAGTACCCATACACTGAGATCCCAGGTCTATCCAAGTATATGTGATAACTACACAATTCAGTTCACACTCAGGCCTGGTGAGAGCAACTGGATATTACCTTACCATCTTCTCACTTACATTGGGTTTCTCTATCTTGCTAACCATTTTTGTTATAACTATTCCTATTCAAAGATGACTCTAATTGGAAGAGAATAGAGACGCAAAATAAGCGTTGAGTTATTCTGCTGTCCATTATCATCACCATCATCATCTTATCTACTCCTACCAAAGTCAAATCCCAATCATGAATTCCATCCTACCAAAACTCAGTTATCCCTATGAAGCCAAATTTACCTCCTTATGTTAGGTTCACTAGCTTACCATATATATTATTCATGCTTTGTGTCTTTGTATACAGACATTGGCGGTCATGGGTTTCATTGCTGCTTTTCTTCTTAGATGTTATTTCCTATGAATGAATGGTCCTTTCCCCCATTATTCTCTTTCCTCTTGGTACCTGCTATTCTCTGTTGCAGTAGGGTTGGTTAGACTTATGTGGACAGTTGTTTTTTCTTTTCCTCTTCCTTTTCATTATAAAGCTCTCATATTTGCAAGACTCCAGTTAAATATAATTTTTCTTAAATTTTGTTAGGTGAACACCATACCTGGATAAAACTCATCAATGTTCAGAAATCCATATTCACAGACACCATCTTTCCAACCAGCTGTTCATATCCCAAATATGGCTTTCTCTTGTGGAAGTAGTGATGAAAGAACTGTCTGTGCCCCTAAGGTCTTCCATTTCTTGCTGAAGACTTCTTAATCCTTATAAATGATTCTTAGCTTCCTTTGTCTCCACTTAAACTATAGAAGAAGGTGATGTTTATCAGGTTTGATAAGTCTTAGGATGCTTTTTGTTATGTTCCAGATACATGCCCCAGAAGATAGCAAATCTCTCTTGTTGAGTATGTCAAGTCCTCAAATAGCTAGCTCAGGTCCCTTCAACAAGGAGTCACTAACTACCACTATCCTTTCTCTGTCCATTACTGGATGATATTATCTGAATATACCTGTGAATCCATTTCATTGCTTGGAGCACATAAAGCTACTTCCTTCAGAGATAGTACAGCTTCCATACAGGAAGGCTCTCATACCTATTTGTAACATTTTTACTTGATTTTCAATTAACAAGCATGCATTTCCTCTCCTTCCTACTCATCTTATTGGAAAGAAAAAAAAAGAAAAGAAAAACAAAACCCTTCGAACAAATATACACAGGTAAACCAAATACATTCCTACACTGCCAGGTCCAAAAATGTATATCTCAGTCTGTATCTTGAGGCCAGTAGCTCTCTGCCAGGAAGTGGATGGCACACTTTCTTATCCATCCTCTGAAATCATGGTGGATCATTGCATTGATCAGACTTCTCAAGTCTTTCAAAGTTGTCTTTACAATGTTGTTGTTATAATATAAATTGTTCTTCTGGTTCTGCTCATTTTATTCTGCACTGCTTTATATAAATCTTCCTCAGTTTCTCTCAAACCATTCCTTTCATCATTTTTTTCAACCCAAATAACATTCCATGTATCATAATTATAATACACTCCCATTTAGGTACCATAATTTGTTCAGTCATTCCCCAATCAATGGGCACTCCCTTAGTTTCTGATTCTTAACCACTTTGAAGAGAGCTACTTATAAATATTTTTGTACATATGGGTCCTCTCTCTCTCTCTCTCTCTCTCTCTCTCTCTCTCTCACCTTCTTTGGGGTATAATAGGCCTCATAGGATCAAAGAATATGTACAGCTAACTTTCTAGGCATAGTTTCATATTGCTTTCCAGAAGTTGGACCCATTCACAGTTCCACCAACAATGCATTAACATTCCTGTTTTTTCTATAGGCTTTCCAATATTTGTCATTTTTCTTTTTTGTCACTTTTACCAATCTAATGAGTATAGGTAGAACCTCAGCATAGCTTTAATATTCATTTCTCTAATTATTAGTGATTTGAAGCATTTTTATATGGATGTTGATAACTTGTATATCTTCATTTGAGGACAAACTCATAACCTTTGACCGTTTATCAATTGGTGAACGGCTCTCATTCTTATCATTTAGAATCAACTCCTCATACATCTTGGAAATTAGAACTTTATCAGAAAAACTTGCTATGAAGATCCTCCTTGCCTCCATTTACTATTTCCCTTCTAATTTTAGCTACTTTAGTTTTATTTGTACAAAAACTTTTGGGGCAGCTAGGTGGTACAGTGGATAGAGCACTAACCCTAGAGTCAGGAGGACCCGAGTTCAAATCTGGCCTTAGACACTTGACACTTACTAGCTGTGTGACCAAGGGCAAGTCACTTAACCCATCGCCTGGCCAAAAACAAAAAAAAACCCAACAAAACACAAAACCTTTAAATTTTATGATATCAAAACTGTTTATTTTGTCTCCTGCGATCCTTTTAATTCCATTTGGTCATGAATTCTTTCCTTACCTAAAGATCCAAAGGGAAATTTCCTTTTTGTTTCTATATTTTTTTATGATATAACCTTTTATATCTAAGTCATATATCCATTTAGAACTAATTTTGGTATATATTATGAGGTGTTGGTCTAAACTTGACTTCTGCCAGATTGCTTTCCAGTTTTGTCAGCAGTTTTTGCTTAACAATGAGTCTTTACCCTACTGGCTAGAGTTTTGAGATTTATCAAATACCAGACTACTAACTTCACTGGCTTCTGTATGTTCCACTGATCAACCTGTCTTTTAAAAAAACTAATACATAATCATTTTGATAATTACTACCTGTAGTAAAATTTGGTATCTGATACTGCTAAACCACCTTCCTTTTACTTTTTTCCCCATTATTTCTCTTGAAATTCTTGACACTTTGTTCCTTCGGATGAATTTCATTGTTGTTTTTCTAATAATCTTTTGGTAGTTTGATTGGTATGGCATTGAATAAATGAATTTAGGTAGCACAGTTATTTTTATCTTATTGGTCTGGCCTATTCATATCCAATTTGTTGCCAAGGCCTGTCAATTTCATCTTTAGTACAGCTCTTAAATACACCCTCACCCCTTTTGGTGCAGGTGCTTATTATTAGGCAATAGCCTACGGGGGAGGTTTGGGAGGGGGAGGTTGGGGGGGGTTGGAGGGGAGGGGAAGTTCTGCCTGACTCAAGTCTCTTCCCACTCCAGGACATCCTCCATTTGGTTGACAAAATTATTTTTCATAAAGCACAGGTCCGACCAAGTCACCCCCTTACTCATTAAACTTCAGTGGCTCCATATCATCTCTAGGATGAAATACAAAATTCTCTATTTGGCAGTCAAAGCCCTTCATAACTTAGTCCCCATTCCCTCCTACCTTTCAGTCTTTTTACACCTTAACTCTGCACCCTCCCCCCAACATACTCTTTGAGCTAGCGACAGTGGAGTCTTTGCAATTCATCAAACAAGATGCCTCATCTCTCCATCCAGGCATTTTCCCTGGCTGGCATGAATGCCTGGAATGCTCTCCCTCTTCGTCTCTGCCTCCTGGTTTCTCTGGCTTCCTTTGAATCTCAGATATAATCCATCTTTCTACAGCAAGCCTTTCCCAACCCCTCTTAATTCTTGTGCCTTCCCTCCATTATTTCCTATTTATCCTGCATGTAGCTTGTTTGTGCATATTTGTGTGCTTGTTTTGTTTCCCATTAGACTGTAAGTTCCTTGAGGGCAGGGACTGTCTTTTGCCTTTCTTTGTATCCCCAGGGCTTAGCACAGGGCCTGGCACATAGTAGATGCTAAATAAATGCTTACTGACTAACAGGTAAATTTTTCTATTGAGGCTTAATTTGTTTAATTGAAGCAAATAATACCCAGGAACAAGACACAAGGACACAGTAACCCAAGCACACAAGATTAAATTAAATAATTTAATGAACTCCACTCACCTCATTTCACCTTGCTGCTGCCTTCCAGATACTTTCCTCTACTTCCCTGGACTCTAGGCTCTCAGATATGGTTATCTGTACATATATATATACGTTTTATCTTCTCATTCGACTGTAATCTCCATGAAAGTGGGACCACATCTTATCTAAATATGCTACCTCCCTAGTGCCTAACACACAGTAGACTTTTTTTGTTTGTTTGTTTTTGTTTTTAATGGATGTTGAATGCTGCCAATAGGTGGGAAGGTAAATTGGAAAGTAAATTAGGAGACACTTGTGTCTGCGCATGTACCATATTGAAGGTGGGTTGGAAGGCATATTGAAATGAGATGCTTATAACTCTACCCGATGGGGCTACCAGAGCATGGTGAAGCTAGGTCAGGTGTCACACTGGAAGGAGACTTTTACAAGTCTATGAGAGTCAGTCTGAAAAACAAATTGAAAGGAGATCCTTGGGTTTTATGAGGGCTCTTGTTGAAGCTAGGTCAGAAATAAACACTTACGGCTCTGTGACAGCCATGTTGGGAGGAAGCGAAGTAAGCCCATTGCCTGTTAGAAGCAATATCTTAAGGCAAGGCAGAATTCCCAGCTCACGGATGGCCTCTTGAGACAAATTATTGAATGAAAGATCCAAGTGCTAAGTTCCAAAAAGATAGGGAAAAAAGTATCCAAATGTTATAGTATATTGTGTACTGTAATGAAACTTACCCATGGGAAGAAATCCTATTAGAGCTGACAATTTGTATGTTTGCCCTTTCTTCCCATCCTTCAAGGCCCTACCCAGGAGCTACTTCTCCAGGAAACCTGCTCCAGCTAGAAGAGGTCTCTTCTTCCTTGAATCTTGAATCTCACAGAAACCAAGCTCAGAAGCCACAATAACCCTTTAAAGCCCACTTGGGGCCCCACCTTGGGGCCCCACTGTCCTAACTGGTGGTTATCTCAGTTTGCAACTACATTTAGGTCTGGGTTCCCAACATAATTTCCTTTACTTCCAAGACTTCTCACCAGCTGCCATGCCATCATGTATACCCTTAGTCACTCTTCCTACCCCTTTCAGTTCTAAAAACATTAATCAAATAAACTCTGTTGTCACTCCTGGAATGTCGATTAGCTCCCCTCTGGCTCCATTCACCATTCCTGTAATTTTCCCAACCAAAATATCACTCCCTGGCCATCACTCCCCTATATTTGTTCCATTGTATGGAGCCTTTTCAGCCTCCTTCACTGATTCATTATCCAAATCATGTCCCAGAACTGTGAGTACATGCCAAGGCTCTGTCTTAGGCCCCCTTACTCTTCTCTCTATATACTCTTTCTCTTGGTGACCTCATGAGCTCCCGTGGGCTTAATGATCATTTCCCTACTAATAACTCCTAGATCTATATCGTCAACCTCAGTTTTTAATACGTGAGCTTCCACCCTGTACCACAAATTGCCTCTTGAATATTTCAGATGGGATATCCTAAGAACATCTCAAACTCAACACGTCCAAAATTAAATTCATTATCTTCCTCCCAAAACTCAATCCTCTTCAAAACTTCCATGTTTCTGCTGAAGGAACCACCATTTTTTCAGTCTCACCCATGTTTGTAACCTTGATGTTATAAATACCTCATTCTCCCTCACCCCATATATTTATTCATTTATTCGCCCACATATTTATTATTGCCAAATCTTGCTTTCCAGCTCCACGTCTCTCACATTCAAGCCCTTCTCTTTACTCACATGGCTACCATGTTATCATCTCTTGCCTACATTGTTCCAACAGTCTTCCAATTGGTTTTCCTGCCTCAGTTTATCCTGTACAAAGTGAGCTTCCTTAAGTGCAGATTGGGCTCTATCACTTCCATATTAAATAAGCTCCAGAGGCTTTCCTAGAGTCTGTAGAATGAAATATAAACTCCTGTGTTTAGTTTTTAAAGCCATATACAATCTTACCCCAGCTTGTCTTTCCAGTATCATTATGACACGATTCCTCCTACTCCCACACTCTGTAATTCAGTCAAACTGGTCTTCTGGCCCTGACACACAACATTCCATTTGCCCTCTTTCTGCCTTTGCACTGGTCATCCCCCATCCTGGAAGGTACTCTCCCCCGCACTTCCACCTCAATGAGTCCCTCTCTCCATTCAAAGTGCAGCACACATATCATCTTCTGCATGAAGCCTTTTCTGATTCACCCCCCTTTCCCAGAGCTGCTCATGCCCTGCCTTGCATTTATTTGTAGATATTCTCCTTAAATTTATTCTGATATATTTATGTATGTCCTTATCTTTCAATGCAAGCTTGTGAATAGGTTCATTCTATTTGTATCACCAATTCCCAGTACTGTACTTGGCACATAATAGGCATTTAATAAATACTTGTTGAATGATTGATCCCCAAGGCTTAGCAGCATATAGTATTTAATAAAATGCTCATTCATTCATTCATTCATTCATAGTACTTTGTTCAAACCTTTCTAGTGCACAACTTTCATGATAATTTATATGGAATTATCTGTGTCCATCTTTTGTCTTCTGACTAGACTGAAAGATCCCTGAGGCCAGATATTACATATGATTTCAGAGTCTACATTCAGTTTGTTGAGTGACTACAGAATACTTTGGCTAGCAAAACCACCATAAAGCATTGGCCAAGCTTTTGAAAATGAATGATGCCTTTGAGTGGAACATCTTCCCCATTCCTCTTTGCTTACTAAATTCCTAGCCACTTCCATCAGAAAACCTCCCCTCATCCTCCATGCCAGCAATGGACTTCCCCCAATGCCTCTCAGAAGTTTGCTTCTACCTTCCTAATGCTAATGTCATCTAATATTATGTGAGAGGGTGGGGTGTGGTGGATAGAACCTTGAACATGAAGTAGGGTACTTGTGCTTAATTCTGGTCTTATTAGATATGTGATCTCAGGATAGGTTATTTTATCTCTTGGGTCTCTCAGTTTCCTCATCTGAAAAATAGAAAGAATATTCTTTGCACTACTTGTCTCATAGGATCATTAGGAAGAAAGCAATTTGTAAATCTTGTAGTGCTATAAAAATGAGAAATATTCTTATAGTGATGATGATCAAGATGTATTTGTATCTTATTTCCCTTCTATACTGTAAGTTTCACACCTGGGTCTAGACTGTATCTTTTCTAAATTCTATATCTCTCCTAGGATGGAACATAGGACTCTGAAAACAGTTGGCATTTCATAAATGTTTATAGAATGAATTAGTCAGTAATCCCCTTGGTCAGATGTTAAAATGCTAAATTAAATAAGCATGAAGGAAAATGTCTTATTCACATGGGCTATGACATAATGGGAATTCTGACTCTCTAGAAAGGGTTTAGGAAAAGAGCAATTATTTTTCCATGGTGGTTAAAACATCTCCATTCAAATCTTCCTCTTTTGTTTCTCTTGTTTCAATTTGGAGGGGACCCTGGACTTCCAAAAGCTACGCCTGTGGAATGTCAGCTCTGACTGGGCCTACCAAACTGGAAAGTCTTTTGCATACGGGTTCTGTAATAAACTGAGTGTCTGCCATCCCAGGGCCAGCCCAATGTAGTATGGGGATGTTCATCACCAAACAGTTGGCCAACATGGGATGCATTTTTGTGGCCATGGCAACTCATGAGGAGGGTGGAGGGATTGAGATGTAGGGTCATAGATTTAGGTCAGAAGGGACTTAGAGGCATTGAGACCAGCTCTTTCATTTTATAGATGAGGAAACTAAGACTCAGAAAGTGACTTGCCTATTCTGGATGTTAAGGTATCTGAAGTAAGGAAGAAACACAATTCAACTAAAGGGAGGGGGTATGGATGGAATGCAATGGCAGGTCTAAAATTCAGGCCCCTAATTCTCTAATGTACCCCAGTACAATCAATTCGATTCAACAAATACATATTGAAAGCCAACTGTGGATGAAGCCTTGTTCTCATCCCTAGAAGAAATATAAAGAATAAGACAGTTCTTGTCATAATAAAGCTTATAATCTAGTAAGGAAGATGAAATACATATACAAATAATTGAAGAACAGGAAGAATATATAACATGAAAATAAAGAACTATGAAAGTGCAGAGTGGGGAGATGCCATTTCTGACTACGAAGATCACAAAGAGCTTCTAGACAGAGCCAGGGCTCCTGAGCTGGGCTTTGAAGAATAGGTACTATTTCTAGAGCCAGAGATAGGATGGTTGGTACAGGTGGGTAGAGGTTGGGACAGGGGTGGGTGGTAAAGAGGATGTCCCAGGGGATTTTGTGAGCAAAGATACAGAAGTGGGAAAAGGCAGGGTAAGTTCATGGCCTCACAGTCTTACGATTTGGCTGGAACACAGATTGCATCAGCCTTAGGGTTGCCTGTAGAGACCTTAAGTCTGACAGCTTGGAGATAAATGTTTGCTTTTGTAGAGAGAAGAGGAGATGCTGAGTAGTGCCAACCTCTTGAAAAGAATATTTTGCAGATGGTCCCTCAGAGTGAGGAAGCATCAGGGGAGTCTAAGCTATGATAGAGATGAGCATAAGGAAGGCATAGGACTTTGCCCTCTGCTATTACTGTGTTTTTTTTTTTTTTTTGGTCTGATGGGAAGGGGGTTGCCTGTTTAGCAACCTTAAGTGCTATCTATAAGAACTGACTGGAGAGAGAGAGAGAGGAGGATGATATTGATTATTTAGGAGGCTTGGTGAGACCTATAAGCATTTTTTACAGTGTGAAATAAAGGCTTATCTATACCTAATATATGCATTATTCCTTGGGGCCTTATATGGCAGCTGGGGATCTTTTCACCCACATATGTGGAGAAATAGATAAGAGGATAGTTGAACTCTATTATGAAATTTCCTAGAGTAAATTCTGGGTAAGGATAAAGTGAACCAAAGAGAGAGTGATTGGGATGTGTATGAGGGAGAGTGAGGGTATGCCTCTAAGTTTGAACCAACTACACGTAATCCCAGAGCATGGGGTGCTAGGTCATGTGTTACATATCGAATATATTTTATAAAGGCTCACATTGAAAATGATGAAAAGAATCAAAGTTTTGTGTATAAATACATACAAACATATATAAAATACATAAGCTTTCATTATCTGGAAGACGTATTCATTATTTTTGTCATCATTATCAAAGTTCATAATTCATATAGTATTCTGTGGTTATATACTTCACATACATTCTTTCATAACTATTACTATGTCCATTTTTCAGAGGAGAAAACTGAGCCCCAGAGGAGTAAAATGACTGCCCAGAGGAACAAAGCCAGTAAGAAGACGAGTCAGGTCTCTAGGCTCTAGGAGTGGTAGGTAGGTGTGTCAGTACCCACAGCATGATTCAAGCTCAATTTTATTTTCAATTCAACTCTGAAAGGAACTGAATCAACAAAAAGATACCAGGAAGTATAGTTTTAACACCTCTTGTGAGGAGGGAGCTCTACAACCACAATCAGAGAGATGACAAGTAGGCACCCTCTCTAAGGACACCTTGTCCCCAAACTTACTTCCAAGAATCGAAATTCTCCTGTCTTGATGCTGACAGTTTTAATTCCGTTGAAACAAAGTTCCAGTTCCTTTAAAGCAGGAAATGTGTGAAATACCTCTAAATGGAAAATGAGAAATATAACATCTGTATCTTTCATCTCATAGAGACTTACAGATTTAAAAAAAAAAAAACAAAAAACAAACCACACACACATTGAATAGGAAATCCAAAAGCCAAATAGTACAACAACAAATGCAGAGTTTTGGTTTTCTGGGTTTTTTTTGTGTACTATTGCCATTAACTTATAAAGAACATTAAAATTCATTAAGGATTTATTAAGGACCTCCTATGTGCAGAGCTGCTTAGCACTGGGAATGAAAAGATAAATAAGATAGGATCCCTGACCTCAAGAATTTATACTTTGGTTTATAATCCAAACTATTCTTACATTGTGATTTAGGGTCAGAATCATGAGAACTTGGACTAACAGAATGCCAAAATAATAAAATCTTAGAATCAGAAACTTTTAATATTATAGAATCAAACTTAGAATCACAGTCTCAGAATTATAGCATTATAAAGAGTTCAGAATAACAGACTCAAATTCAAGCTTAGTCACTGATCCTCTACTAATGTCCTTATCTGATGCCTCCTCCCACCAGGGAGGTGACCCCAGGTGCTCAAAGGCCAAACCAGTGGATTGTAAACTCTGGCAGTCCCTACCAACCTGGAAAGGCTTTAAGGACAGGCCCAGTGACACAATAAGTCTTTAGAGAGACTTATTGCTGGGCTGGCCAGAGGTGATGAATTTTTTCAGCCCCAGCAATTCCCCCAAACCATCTCCTAAGTTATATAAGGCCTGAAATCTGTGTCATTGAAGGGAATACCCAGAGGGACTACCTGGTTCACAGGCCTCTGAAGTGCTGAAGTAGTAAGAACCTTTAAATTAGAAAGAAATCTTGGAATTATTCATGGTTGGTCTCATAGAATCCAGTAAGATCAAAGAGTTTTAGGATCATAGGATCTTAAAATCAAATAATATTAGAATCTATGATTCTACATGTTATAAAATATTTTGTAAAGTGTAAAGTACTATGCAAATGTAAGCAATAATCCTTGGACTTTATTGAGTATTTCTACTTTTGACAAGAAAACAAGTTTGTGACCAGAATTTAGTAAAAACAACAAAACAAACAAAAAACACCTTCCCTAGTTTGACCTGGGGTATGATTCATAGGACTTTATAATGTCAGAGTTGGAAGGGACTGTAGAACACAGGCAATAGAATGTTAGGGCTAGAAGGGATCTTAGAGATCACTTAATCTGTCACAGCAGGAAACCAAGGCAAAGTGATTTGCCCAAGGTAATGGCAGTCATAGACAGAGGTGAAGCTGGAAGCCACATCTTCCAACTCCTTTCCCTGCACTTTCTCCTGTGTCAGGTAGATGTTCAGAATGATGACCTTGCAAAATCTTTAACTGTCAAAAATTTGACTGTGTTCACTAGATTTTACCTTTTAAGTCAGGAAAGTAGAATTGAACACATTAAGATTTTGAACAATAAGGAAGATAGCAAAGGAATATTCAAATCACCAGAATGTGAACAGAGGATTCAATTAATAGAGGTTTTAATTTCTGATTTGTCCTAAAGCTGCTTCCTTTATACTTGGTGAGGAAGCTAATTTAGGAGGAAATAGAATGTGTCTGTCTTATTCCTGACCACATGCTAGAAAAACACAACCTCACCTCTTAGATTATGACAAAGCATGGTCCTAAGAAAAGGCAGTGTTGTTGGGTAAAAAATCCTCAACTGGGAGTCAGGACAACTGGATATTAGACCTAGCTTTGTCAGAGAATTAGTGTGTGACTGGTCAAGTCACCTCTCTCTAGGTCTCAGTTTCTATCTGTAAAATTAGAAGCGTTGTTTACAAGCATGGTGCTAGTTGTGTTTCTCAACCTGGTGATGACCCCAGAGCTGGCCCCACTACGTGTCCCTTGTGCTCAATCTACTGCAACACCTATCTGCTCAGCAGAGAGGTTAGGGTTAGATAAATAAACCTGAGAATCATCTACATTGAGATATGATAATCAAACCTATGGGCATTGATGAAAAGATGAAATGCGACCATATAGAGAAGGGAAGAAAAGGAAGCCTAGTACATAGTCTTGGGGGATACTTATCATTAATGAATGTGACCTGGATGAAGAGGTAGCAAAGGAGACTGAGAAGGAGCTAGGAGAAGAACCAGGAGAAAGCAGTGTCAGGAAAACCTAAAGAAGAGAGAGCATCCAGGATAAGAGAGTGATCAACAATGTCAACAGTCGACAAGAATGAAGACTGACACGAGGCCACTGGATTTAACAATTAACTTTAGGGAGAGCAGTTTGAGTTGAATAATGGCGTCACAAGCTGGACTACAGAGAATTTAGAAGAGAGTGAAAGGACAGGAAGTGAGTGAGTGAGAGGCAATCAGTGAAGACAGATTTCTCAAGGTGTTTAGCCATGAAAGAATTAGGAAGATATAAGATGAGCGCCAGTGGGGTAGGTCAGAACAAATGATGGTTATATAAGACATTGGAGGCATGTTTGTAGGCAACAGGGAAGAAGGTAGTAGATCAGGAAAGACTGAAGATTAGTGAGTGTATGAGGATGATAGAGGGGGCAATCTGTTGATGAAGATGGGATAGAATTGGTCTCTTCTTTGGCTTGGCAAGGAGAAGGGCCATCTCTTCATGAAAGACTGAGGTGAAGGAAGAGATGGCCTGAGATTTTTCCAGTGAAGGATGAGTGATGTCCTCAGCTAAGAGAGTTGGGGGAAGGTGTTACATAAGAGATCTGAGAAATGAGAAGGTTTAGAAATGCCACTGTGGTAAGTGGGATAGAGAAACAATCAGGGAGGTGTAAAAGGATTGCCTTGATGCTGTGAGAGCCTAGTTGAGATTCCATAACATAAATCTGTAGCTGATGCAGTTAGCATTATTTTGGAATTTTCTCCAGTTCTGTTCAGTAGCATGTGAACAAGAGTAAAGGATATGGATGGTGGGAGTAATCTAAGATTGGGGCTTGGCAGGGCATGATTGGCAATAGAATAAGGGGGCAAAAGGCTCAAGTACATAGGATAATGTGGAGTTGACCTGGTTCACCAAAGGGTTGAGATAGGAAAGGGGAAAGAGTAGTGCAAGTGATTAGAAATTTCTGGTAAAGAACTGAGGGATGAAGGAATCGGAGGTCACAGTGAGGACAAAAAACAGGATGAGGGGTGATAAGGCAGAAGAAAAGATAAAATGATAAAATTATGACTGATAAAAGAATTTCAGAGTTAATCAACATGGGAGTAGAACACTTGTGAGTGATAGCAAAATTAAGAGTAGGACCATTTCTTTTTATAGCTAAGGCGGAGGGGCAGGTCATGAGAAATGAGTAAATTGAGGAACTGGGAAGTCATGATGTTTGAAAGAGTATATATATATATATATATATATATGTGTGTGTGTGTGTATATATATAGTTGTATGTTATATATGTACATATATTATATATCACACACACATATATGTGTATATGTGTGTGTGTGTGTGTGTGTGTGTGTGTATATATATATATATATATATATATACACACACACATATATATGTTTAAGTCCCTTAGTATCATGGAAAGAGTTGGGGTGGAGAGACAGACTGTGGTCCAGGCATTGAATTCCCTGAGAAAGGAAAGACAGTGTTCTGGGTAGTATGGTTAAATAACAGCTACGAGAATCATGATTGGGTGATAAATTTCTATTGAGTGAACCTCAAAGAAGGAGAGGTTACTAAGTGATATTGGCAGTGAGAGAGTCTGGAATTAGAAACAGGGAACAAGGAATATTCTGGCTCTACCACCTCAACTAGTGAGTTGAGAGAGGGGGGTTATGGGTAAAAGTACAACCAGTACTGGAAAGAGTGGCCAGGGATGCAGTGTCATCAGGAGGAAGTCAGGTCTCAATTAGAACTAGAAGAAGGAGTGGGAAAGCAAAGATAAAAGATAAAAGGAAGCTTGTTAGTTACGGGGCAGGCATTCCAGAGAGCACAGTCAAAGGAACAGGGAGATATGGAGAAGAACATTTGATAGGGCTGAATTGAGGAGGGTGTTGTTGTTTGTCCTTCATTCTCGAGGAGGACCAGTGACTTCAATGAATTGGATTTAAGTGAGGCAGGGCTGTGCAAAGTCATCAGCCTCACTCTCTCCTCCAGAGTCATCAGAGTCCAGTGGCAAGACCTAGGTCAGGACAATTGATGATGGCCCCTGAGGAGGGTGAGAGTAAGTGGGGCATAGGGACATCCAAGGGTCTAGAATCACTAAGGGTGTGTATGTGTGTATATGCGTGTGTGTGTGTGTGTGTGTGTGTGTGTGTGTGTTTGTATGAGAGAGAGAGAGAGACTATGATGGGACTGGAGTACACCAACCACCGAAGAATGAATCCACACTGAGAATCAGTGCCTGGAAAGAGGTCAGTTGAGGGAAGCAGGTGATTAGACTGTTAAAGGCCTTCCCTTAAAGTCCAGCCCTACAGCAGGTGGTAATGCTGCATCCAATGAAGGCCAAGATGTCCATCTCACAGCAAGAGGGGGCAGGTGAAGGCAATGGCTTGGGAGCATCAAGAGAGGAGGCAGATACTGGTCATTCTAGGTGGGTCTGATCCAAGGCAAGCCTCCAGAGCACTGAAAAAGGCCTTGAGGTGAACACAGAGGCCACAGGCAGACAGCCTGGGTCAGGGCTCACACAAGGCTCCCTGGGAAGTCTTTGGAGCAGTGGAAGATAGGAGAGAATGTATTTCAGGCCTAGGGGACAATCAGTACAAGACCAGTCAAACAGGTAGGAAGAGGACCAGGAGAGAACAGTATCATAAACAACCCAGGAAAGAAAGTATCTAAGAGGAAGGAGTAATCAACACTATCAGATGCTATAAAGAAGTCAAGAAGAAGACTAAAAAGAGGCCTTTAGATTTGTCAGGTAATAGATCACTGGTACCTTTGGAGAGAGCAATGGCAGTGGAGTGATGAGATAAAACTAGATTGCAAAGGGTTTAGAAGACTCTGAAAAGTGGAAGTATTGAGTGTAATTTTTTTTTGTTTTTT